TTATTAAAGATTATTACATTATCTTTTTTCACCCGTAAACACTTCATGAAATATAAAATAAAATAAAATAATTTGTAAACAACTTAAGAACGATTCAGTGTATTATATATATATATTTTTTTAGTTCTCTAGATTAAAAATAAATCAATTATCCTCACACTAATTTCCTACCGATTTCCGACAAATTAAAGCAAAGTAAGCAATTTAATAACTATCTTTCTGAAGATGTTTAAAATCCTCTAAAATAAATAAAAATAAAAATACTCTAAGCATAAGTGAGTTCCTCAGAAATAGGGACTAAAACAGCGACAGAATATTTTGATGCTCCACAAAGGTAACATAAAACGAATGGAGATTTAAACATATTTTCGCTTTTTATGAACAATTACCAAATGTAAATGGTAATAGATCGAAAATAGTTTTAAAGTAATTGGATATTTAAAAAAGTCAGTTCTATAGCCCTGACCAAAATTTTATAAAACGCAGCAGAAATAAACTTTTATAAAATTTATAAGACTTAAGTATAAAATTATATACCGACTTGCTTTGATAGTGCAAAGAAAGTTTATTTTTTAAATTTTTTAATAGAACATATTTCAAAAATATAAATGTTTCGTCATTCAGAACAACGGTTCCTCAATTAATCTAGTTACTATTGGAGAGCAGTTGTGCCTAAATATAAACATCCACTCAATGTTTCATAAGCAGTTTAACGATTTGTTTCAAGCCGATTGACAGTTTCTTAAGCTGTGCCTTCATTAAAGCAAAGCAACAATATTTTCAAAACCAACAATACCCCGTATATACCTAGTTCTGCCATAACTACTGTCACAAAAGTTGAACTTTGTTTACATTCTTTTGGGTATTATTTAGATAATCCTTACCTCTATCAGGTTACTTTCTTTAAATGTCAGAATAATAATCCCAATTAGTTTGTATTTTTCTTTCGCTTAGTTAACATGGAGTGGGTTGATAAAGAAAAACGTGTAGCTGTGATCGCCTTACACAAAGTTGGAAAATGTAGGTCAGATTTTCAACATTTTGAAACCTTTGGGTATCAGCCGTATGTTCGTGTACTACACTATAAATAGATGTAATGAGACCCTAAATGTATGTGACAGATCTCGAACGGGCCCTCCCCGCACTGTGAGAACAGCAAATGCAGTGAGAGCACTAGCGGATCCAGGCTTTAATTTGGGGGGGCTTCAGCCCAAAAGCTTTTCTTTTCATAAAAGTAACGATAATTACTTTGGAAAATACGAAAGAAACTAAGTACCTATATGAACTGGTGTTTAAGTGATTCCTAAAGCCCTTTTAAATGTAATTACACGAATAATTATACTTTATGAGATAATTATTTAGTATTTTTTCCGATAAAATATGGTTATATTTTACCATTTTGGGAGGGGGGGGGGGGCTTCAGCCCGAAAGCCCTCTCCCGTAGATCCGCCCGTGAGTGAGAGCAGTGGTCAAGAAATCCTATTCGAAAACAACAAATCATGTTTCGGGCTAGGGCGGATCTACGGGAGGGGGAGGGGCTTGCTCCTCCCCAAAATGGTAAAATGTAACCATGTTTTATGGAAAAAAATAAAAAAAAATTATCTCTTAAAGTATTATTGTTCATGTAATCACATTTAAAAGTACTTTAGGAATCACTTAAACACCATTTCATGTAGGCAGTTAGTTTATTTCTTTTTTCCAAAGTAATTATCGTTATTTTTATGAAAAAAAAAAAAAAAAGCTTTCGGGCTGAAGCCTCCCTCCCCAATATTAAACCCTAGATCAGCTAGAGGTCTCGAGAAATGTGAATCTCTGTCAGATCAATGCCTCGCATAATAAAAAGTGACCTTAGGATGGGTGCATTTCGAAGAATGACAGGGTAAAGGCTAACAACCACTTCCCTAAAAAAAATTAGAGTGGATAGATTGGCGGCAAAGTGTTCTTTGCCCGATACACCAATGCTCTTCACCGAAATTTTTATTTAGCGATGAGAAAATTTTTACAATTGAAGAAACATTTAATCGCCAAAATGATCGTGAGAACGCACACAGCTCTAAAGAAGCCCAGGAAGTCATTGGAAGAGTGCAAAGAGGTCATCACCCTTCTTCAGTGATAGTGAGGAGTTTGCTTTGAAGGCACCATAAAGTTCCATGTTTGTAAAAAAAAAGTTGAAACAGCCGCTAAAAACTATCAGGTTTCAGCTCAAAAGGCTAGGTCAACTCAGCAGTGATTACAAAAGAACATTCCAGAGTTCATCTCTGTCTCGGATTGGCCCTCAGGAAGTCCTGATCTCAACCCACTAGATTATCGGCTTTAGTCCGAACTGGAAAAGATGGCATGCACAGAGCATACCCTAACTTGGAAAGCCTCAAACAATCTCTGGTTCCTAGCAGTTGAGCGCTTTCCTCAAGAAGTGCTGCGTGCTGCTATTGATGACTGGCCACGGAGATTAAATGTCTGTGTCAAGGCAAAAGGGGGACATTTTGAGTAATTTACTTTTTGTTTTACTGTCTATAGATATACATTTTATTTTCTAATAAAGTTTTTGAAAAACAAAAAGTTCTGTTCAGATCTATATATAATTCCGTAACAATATTTATGACAGGACTAGATGTATATATATATAATCGTTTACAATATATTTCATAGTTATAATTTATCAATAAAAAAATAAATCAATTGATAAAAATAAGTATACTTCTTAGCTGTATGTAGTGACTATTCAGTGCCAACGTATAAGACTGCGTTAAACAGCATTCAAATTAATCATATTATTTTTCCACCTTCTTTTGTTTGATTTTTTTTTCTTTTTCGTTTTCCACCTGTTCTTGGCGATGCTGCCTCGATTAACTTGGATTTTATTCCAGCAGATATCACGACACCCCTGTCATAATAGTGCCTACTAGATTAAGCCAATTGGCTAACAGTCAATTTAAAAAATAATGGTTAATGGCATTGAACATTTGCCTTAATCTTGATGGCATTGGGTTGTAAGTTACAGCCTGTAACCATGTTGCGATTATATATGTACTGGAACTATTAAATATTGAAATAAGTCAAGTGCAAATCTTGGAATAATTCCTAATGGTTCCAGGCTTGTTACTAACTTCAATGGTTATTTGGAATGTGTTAATTCAGGAATTTTTATCGGTCATTTATCTTGGTAAGGAACATAAAAATATTTATATTCATGTGAGAAAATTTATTTTGAGCCAAATAATAAGAATTAAAGATTTAACTCATTGCAGTTAAATACGTTTTGTTCAAATACTAAATTCATATTACGGTTTGAATAGTTTGAAGTATGTAAGTAATACGCTCATCTATATTCAAACAATTTTATATTAGTTTAAAAAGAATGTTAAAAATGCACATATAAACATTAGATAGGTATTATAGAAGTCTAATACATAACAAATGAAAAGGCGCCAGTGAAAGGAGCGGATCTATTGGGTCTACATTTCCTCAACTGATCAATCAGGCGTTGAAATATGATGCAAACAACTTCCGTTTTCCAGTTTATTCATATAATGCAATCATTTTTTTTTTTTTTAAATCATTTCCATCTAACTGAAAAAAAAAATGCAACTAATATATATATATATATTCATTGGACTCAAAATCATTAAAATAATTATATCTTTAAATCAGCTCTTAATAAACTTATGCACCACTAAGTTAAAAAGAACTGGTACATAATAAAAATATAAAAAAGACCTTTGCTATGGTAGAGGATAGGGAATATCACCATTCCACCCTTCCCTACCCCCTCAATAATATGAAAAATCAAAAAGTTAGAATATTTTCAATTTGAAATATTACTTTAAAACCATTACTGATATGTTTTAAATTGAGATTCTTGCGACACATTTTTTTTTTTTTTAGTTTTAAAAGCAGTCCTCAGGTGTTCAAATTCCCATCAGGTAAATGAAAGATTGAAATCCACAGTTGGAAAAAAATTAAATATTTCTTTACTAAATAAATATGACGTATTTTATTTTTTTATTCAAGTTCCAGGAAATTTTAAAATTTGTAATTTGAAAATTAGTCCAGTTACAGTAGACTCTCGAATCTTTGCAGCTAATTTAAAAATTCGAGATTTCAAGTTTTTGGACTGATCAAGGTTCCAAAAACGGGAACTATAATAACCAATTTCAAATTATAAAAGTCCAAAGTTGATTAAACTTGTTTACATTCCTACTCAAACAGTAGGAATGTAAAAAAAAAACTGGTAGCAATAAATAACAAGTATTGAATTAAAACATTTTAATACATTACATAGTATTTATGCACTTATTTTATATCTAGGTACATACTATTAGAAACATATTGAATATTTAATAGTTGCATTATTAAGGAAGTAGATGGTCCGGGGTGGCGGTCATAAATAGAATAAATAGTAACAAAACTATTTCATTAAAAGCCAACGTTTCGATCTGACTTTTTGCTGGTCTTCTTCAGGGAGATTTGTTGAGCTAGAACCAGTTCTAAGTGAAACTCCAAGCTGAACACACCTACCTGAAGAAGACCTGCAAAGTCCGGTCGAAACGTTGGCTTTTAATAAAATGTTTTGTTACTATTTAGTCTATTTATGACCGCCTCTCCAGACCATCTCCTTCCTTAATACTATTAGAAACATTATGATTATTTATGCTAGTTTTGGAAGCCATCCGTTTGAAGCACGAAATCCTTGGGTGCCCTTTCTTTTTGACGCACATAACCATCGAGATCAATAAAATTGGTCCTTTTTGCAATTTACTCTTAGCTGAATAATCCACACATTGCATCATATTATAAAAAAAACATGTAATAAAGAGAAAAAAAATGGGAATATAGGGGTATCAGCAAACATCGAGTTGTAGAGGTGATGGAAACTAAACTTATAGCAGTTTTATATGAGTCCTTAGAACACAGAATTATTTTAATGGAAGGAATTTATTTGAGAATTATAGAGGTAAAAATCATAGTTTATGAGAGTAGTGACATGAAGAATTAAAAAATTGTAAACTTATTTTCAGTTTATTAAAAACAAAATATAACAATATATAGTTTATCTAGTATAACAATCTACCTAAATAATTTTATATTATTTTAAACATTACAATAATAATTATATTTTCAACTTTCAAGTTCATTAGTCAAGAACTAACAAAAATATAATTCACAACTAGTACAATAAACATCTTTCATAAAATAATCAATAAATTTAACAAATTAGTGAATATAATTTAAATTATTAAGGAGTACCCTTTTGTTCCTTAAACACTATATTTATATTTTGCAAAAGGACAATAAAAAAATACAAAAACAGACTTATAAAATAGGAAATACTCTAAATAAATGTTCTTGTTTGTTGAAATTATTAAACAAATCACAGGACAAATAGGATAACTACAGTACCCTAAAATAACTACAATAATAACAAATAATACAAAAATAAAACTTTTAAAAATCTTATTCAGATAAACAAAGGAACTAACAAATTTAGGACTTTAGGTATAAAAACGATAAACAATTTGACTGATACACTGCCCTCCGCACCATATGGATTATATGATATTGTTGAATAAAATTAATAAATACCAGGAATATTTTCTGGTTTTCTATAATTTAGAATAGTTGTAGATGGTTTTTAAGATAGGCAAAAAAATCATCAGATATAAATATAGAAAATGTTAGAATCCATTTTCCTCTTATATTCAAATAAAACGTATTGAACATTCAACACTTTCATGCTTCATTACTTTTAGCCTATTAACAGATGTTCATGTAGTTAGATAGTTATAAAATTAAAACTGTTAGAGGACAGTGAATAACAAAAACAAACATTTGTTATGAACCAAACAACAGTCAGTCACCATCTTATATGAGGGTATCCTCTTCAAATACCAACAGCAATGAATGCTGGGAGTGACTGCTCGAGTCAGGTGATAGTGGAGGAGCAGCCATCACCAAACTACAATTTTCCCGGTAACCAGAAGTGCTAGATGTCTGAGACATGTCTTCCTCCCACGAGTGCTCTCCTCGACCCCGAGATGTTTGACTACCGCCATTGTTGTTGTTGCTGCCAGGTGTAAGGCCATTGTTGCCAGTATTGATTGATGGTTCCGATCTATGCCCACTCTAAAAAGTAACAGTTTAATTGTTTAAAGTTACATCCCATAAAAAACAGCTGGACAAGTAAAGTTACAATACTTCTAGGTTCATAAAAATAAAGTATATTACATAAAAGAATCAATCAAAAATAGTTAATCTTTATTTCAAATTCAACACCCTAAAAAAACAAAAAAAAAAAAAACCGTATTACATAGTCTTTCTACTGTTCATTGACTTATATCTATTATTTTAATATTTCGAGGTTGTTGATGATGTAGCATACAGTCTTTCTTCTGAGACATGATACTCACAGGAGAGTTTTTGGAATCCAACCCACCCCTCGCACCTGTTGACACAATCCTATAGTGTTGCGATTTTCTTTTTTGTCAAGTTTTTTTTTTCAATTGTGCATTAAATTCTAATAATGAGTCCAAACTTATCATATTGGAATAATAACAACAAAGGCTTAGCCAACCCAAAGGTAAGTGAGTCACTGTTTACCATTATTTAGTAGGACTAATTCAGAAGAGTAAGTTGAATTTCAAGAACCCCTTAATCCTCTGGGTATCATATCTCACCAGAAAGACTATAAAATATTAAGATATAAGTCTATGAACAGTGCACTTATGAAATAAAACAGAAATAAATAGCTGTTTTTGATCGCTCAATAAACTTTACTTAATACATTTCGAGATTGAATATCAGTTTTGTGATATCCATATAAGAAACAAAGTCAGAACTTCCAAAATCCATTAATTCACTTACATCCATTCTGCTCTTTCTCAGCCGGAAGGTTTTTCTACTCTGGGCTTTAGATCTTTGAAGACGAGGTCTATGCGGTCTTGTTTCGCTTTGGCTTTCTTCCTCTGGACTAAGAACCTCACTACCTACAAAAAGGAGCAAATCTTCATTAGTATTTAAGAATATAAATATATATGAAGAAAAAAATTATACTTACTCGTGTGATACCTTGACAGAACAGTTGGTGGCTCTTGTGTGTTAGTACTTGGCACAGAAGACACTGATTCTAATAACACATATTAATGAAAAATAATTTTTAAAAAAATAATGGAAACAAATTAATAAAAATAACATCAACCAGGGTGAAAATGAACACAAGACCATGAGGACAGCCAAATGTAGAACAAGTGTTAATATAGCACCCAAAATATACCCAGTCAATTTTTTTTCATTTATTGAAGATTTATTTGAACTCAAATAACTGAATACAAGCAAGTTTATGTTTTTTCCATAATTTTATTTGGACCTTTCCAAGAAGAAAAATAATTAAGTATATTTTGCTTTAGTTAGGTGCATAAAACTTATAGTACTGTAGGCAATTCCTTAAAGAGATTATTTTGTCCTTTGTTGTGATGCTGAAGTAACTCCTGCATAAAGAAGATAAAATTAAAGAAACTGTAAAAAAAATCACTTCAAAGGAGCGTACAGTGTACAAAAACAGAGTAATCTAAACTTAAACCATTCTCACCCTAGTGAAAGGTACTAGCAACTAATTAAATATTTCAATTTAATTTGAATATAAAAATAAATGGTATATTACTTATCTTATTATAAAGTATAATTAAATTATTGTAATATTTAAACTTGAAATCAAATTAAAAATATAACTAAAAAAAAGAAAAAATACTCAACATTAATTCAAAATAGAAGTCAACATGTAGAGGTCCTACTTACAGATAGTAATTAACAAAGCATTAAGTCTTTTAAATTTTTCAATTACACAATTTATCTTGAATTAAAAATTTTTACTTGATAAATCCTCATATACATTATTACAGTAAGGCTTGAAATCGGTTTTGTACCAAATATAAGCTTCTGTCATGCTCAAATACCCATGAATGGGATACCGTTGGATTCAGAATATCACAAGAGGTTAGCGAATCGTATTCTCCACTTTTGTTTTTCTTTCTAAAATAAATAAAGTTGATACAAACATTTTGCTAGGCTTCAATACTGGAACAGTGGTAGGTCTGTAGATTGATACGGGACAAATTGGACCTTGAAGATTTTGATGCATACAGCAAGACCCGAATAGTTCCTCTGGAAGCCCAAAAACGTACTATTTTCGAAATAACGCAAGGCATAGGTTCGTATTCACACAACCTTACGTTAATTGTAGTACTATCATTGAATACATGTCTCATTTCGTCGACTTGAGATATCTATGATCGAGAGAGGAGGAGTTTATATTGTTTATTGATGGTGTTTTTGATCTGCAAGCCATATCATCGTTAATTCTTCACCAAGTCCCAAGATTGAGCCACCAATTTTGAAGGCTTCCTTCTCCTTCCAGCGGGAAAAATAGTCCAATCACCCCGAAAATTCAGGCAAACAAGTTATGAAAGAAAACAAAAGTTATTTGGGAATAACTAAAAAATTAATCACTTTTCCCTTGGTTATGCTCATGATTATTTAAAACATTACTAAAAGCCCTACAAAAGGAAAAAAAAAAATCACCAAAATCGGACAATTTTTAGCAAAGATACAGCTTATTGAAATTTGTAAACATGTTGATTCCAAACAAAAATGAGTTTTAAATTAATTTTTGTTTCCTTTGTCGATTATATTTATCGATAAAGTAACAATTGATTTCTTTATCTTTTGATGCGTTGCATTATTTTAATTTCTTATTAATTCGGCATTTGATAACAACATGCTGTGGGAATTTTTCGTACGGGCCTACTTGTAAATAATTATTGATTTATTAATTATTTTTCAATAAAATAATCTTTTGATTTAATTTATAAGAGTTACTTTGAACTTCATCCCAATTACTAAAAATCTCATGTATAGTGTGATGTAAGCCAAAAATGAAAGATCTAAAAATATATTTCTCATGACTAAAATTCAGTTTTATAAACCTTCATGGCTAGATTTTATTGATGAAATCCTTTTTATTTAATAATTTTGTATATAAAACTTATATATGTTACCTCTGTGTGGTATGGTGATGTGAGAACCAAGCTGACTATTGTTGCCAGTGAGTAGATCTATCAGTGATGGTCTATGTCGCTGAGCAGGAGCTGTCGTGGTTGGTTCAGGTGGTACCGCCGCATCACCTTTTGCTACACCTTCCAGCTCTAAGGATTCATATTTTTAGTTAATTATACAGACTTTATTTCTGTTAAATAGTAAAAGGTAAATTCATATGATAGACTTTCCTCTAAAAGTTTGTAAGTTATTTTCAAATTTATTATTACAAGAGCAGAATAAAAATTAATTTGGTAAAATAATATTTTACCTAACAGGAAAGCATCAACAATAAACTAAACTGATAATTGATATCATAATAAAATTAATCCTAAGAAAATTTTCTAAAATTCAAATTAAGCTAAATTCATCAAGATATAAACAGTTAATTATAATGAAAATAATAGAAGAAATGATGTGCGACATTTTTGAATGTTGTATTTAATTTTTTTCATTAATAATGATATTGTTATTTACAATTTCATTTAATGGTGTACTTGTTTTCACAATTTGATTTGTTTCTCATAACTCAATAAGGCCAGGCACACACGTTATGATATACCGGTGAGGTTTACCTGTACAGATAAACTGGAGCGTGTGTGCCATCCGCTACAGGCCAAACTGCATAGGCTTAACGACCTGTGCAGGGGATTGCAGAAGAATAGAAATTTAATATTTTCTACTTGCGCAGGCGTATAGACCTGAACATGTGATGTGTGTGTCACTCCGGCACACCTGAACAGTTTTTTGCCAACTAGCAAATACTATGTTTCTTGTTTGCTCACCATCTCTCAAGTTAGTTAAAATCTCCTGGATTCTGTAGGGTTTGTTCTCTAAGCCTGCACAGATATACCTTTCTGGTTTATCTGACAGGTATATTGTAATGGGTATGCCTGGCCTAAGAAACACAACACAGAATTTAGTTATTTTTGACATATAAATCTCAAATACCTCTTAAGCTTTAGTGAAAATGGTAAAACAGTTTAGGAAATTGAGAGGAGAGAACAATGGACCTATGAATAATCTTTTTTTAAAAACCAATTTTTCAATGCTCAAGTCAAAATGCTCTTAAAGGTGTAAGTTAAATGAGATCCTAAAAAAATAATTTTTCAACAAATAACCAAGCGTCTTATACCTTGAGTAGTAAGATAAATAAGTAATTATTTCAAATATTATTATCATTATACAGAGGTTACAACATTAAATTATATCAAGAATTTAAAAAGTTAAAACTAACTATATTTATGACTGTCTAACTCATCCTTTAGCTCCTTCATTTCATGAATTAGATCTGCAAGAAGAGCGCCACGACACTTTGGCCCAGAATGTGACAGACCTGACATTTTCTCCCTGACAACAAAGTGAATGTGCCTCTCAATGTCACTTATTGGTGTCATATTCAACTGTAAAAGTTTTCCAAAATTTAATAAACATTCGAGAGATATTATAAATATTTGTTGCAATAATACCAATTATACCTTAAGGCGGATAAATGGCTGCATAAGAACAAAAAGAGGAGGTCTTTGAGATACAACAAACTCAATAAAGCTCCAAAAATATTGTCTAGCATCTGTTACCTGAAAATAGAAAAGAATGAATTTCAAAGAAATTTATAACCGTAATTAGATCTGTACTATTTCTGACCTGGGAGGCATAAACTGTGAAGTGAAAATAGACATTATAATATAAGGGTCAAAAATTTTATAAATAATATGAAAAAGAGATATAAATAAAAACTAATATATTGCCACAAAAAAAAATTATGTTACCATAACAGATTAGGAAGCAGTTAAATGGATATAGAAGAAGATTAAAGAGGAGTTAAACCACTCTTAACAGATTAAACTGGTTGTAATGTGGAGCCTAACAGTGCCTGATAAAACAGATGGGTAGAATCAGAGAGACACCCGAGATCTATCAGGAAGCAGTTATGCATATTTTGGCAGCCCTAATACTGCTATTACAACACAACCAGGTTGAAAATGCTCAAACCTGCTGAATGACATGGGGAGGGAGGGTTGTACCACTGTGTAATTTAGTAACTCCTACTTTTATTCTTGGAATAAAATTATAGGGCCTAGAATGCTGATTTCCAAAATATGAAGGAATTAGAGAAAAGATTCTTTGGAATCCTACAGATCTCTGTTACTAGTCTTAAATTTCCAAGGATCTATAAACGGAAAGAGAATCGGATTAACTATTTTGATATGACTGAAATACTAGTGTCTGTGAACAGAAACATAGAAAGGTGGAAATCTCAGATAGGAAGGGAACTTCTAACTCAGAGTAACGCACATATTGTGGAAGCTAAGGGTAATGAGAATCAGTAGGTTGCCATGAACAATAAAATGAAGATCAAGCTGACTGCAAAGGGAAACTGCTCTCAAATGTAGGACATAAGTTAATTTTTTTTTCTAGTTCAATTACAGTTCATTATTAAAAATAATATCTCTATAGCTTAAAACACCCAAAAGTTAACTTCTGTAGCTAAAACCACTAATTCAAGGGAGATTTGTTATTCTCTTGAAATTATTTTATTAGGAGTTCAATGTATTTCATTGATGTCTCACCTTAGAAAGTTCTTGGACTGTTCTTGCAATACGAGGCCAATCTGACTCTAGTTCCCCTTCAAAGCAAGCTATTAATATCTTCAATGCTATAAAACAATAAAATGACTAGTTAATAAATTACTTTTTACAAAATAGTAGTGAAAATACATATATATTCATATATTTAAAAATGACATACCAAGAAAAGAAACTTGGTAAAGTGATTTAGTGACAGCAGGGGGAGATTTAGTAAATGAAAATGATCCTGACCGGAAATCTTGAGCCATCTTGAAATTCTGCATGGTGACAGGAGTCCTAGCTGAAGGTGGGTACATCGCGTACAAGACCACTGTCAAGCAGTAGTTGATATCTATATCCCTCATAATGTGTATATCTAAATATATTCAAGTAGGTTAGTGGTTGCTTTAAGAAATATGAGCAATATTATATATAGAGCTAAAACACACGTCATGCAAAATTATTTAATGCTTCAATAAAAAATATGAAAATGTTTAATAACCTCTTCTTCCACTTCCTACACGCAGACACAGGGGCATGAGAAGATTAAGCAACATACTCTCTGTCTTCTCAAAGGTAGGAAAGAGGGTACTACCACCACAGACTTGCTCCAGCGTATACGAATCCTAATACATAAAATTAAAATAAAAAAATTGAGGAAAATGAGAAAGTCTGTTTTCTATACCTAAACCATAGAAATAAATCTGGAAATTTGTAATTGTTCAGAATTGGCCTGCCAAAAGAAACCAATACTATTCTAAAATTTTAATATATTTTGTTATATTTTAAGACTTATAATAGATCATTTCCCAAGATTTAAAAATTTATTTTGAATACTGAAAATGTCATCTATTTTTTTTGTTGCGAGAGGAGATAAAATCAGATCATATATAATAAAAAGTTTTACAATAGTGATACTATTAAAATCCAGTTAAGATCTTTATTTATTCTCAAAATAGCTTTAATTAGCTGATGGTTAAAATGCTTTTATGTCAGGATAAATTTAAATACAAAGAATAAATAGAACACAATAGAACTAATTTTGTATAATGCGTCTAATAATATAAAATCAATGAGTAATTAAAAAAAATCAAAGCACAAATTAAAATATATATTTGTGATACAAATGACTGATTAATAAAAACTCACACCAAAAGCTAATATTTGAAGAGCTATAAGTCGCACAACCATATCACAGAAGTGAGGAGGTGGAACCTGAGACATAAGAGCTGCAGTTGCAGATGAAATATTCTCTGCCAAGCCTGTTGCCATTTCACCAATGATCAGTGACTATAAAATTAGTAAAAAATAAGAAAAGAAAAATTAGTTTGATTTAGTTTTTAAGTTCATAGCTATCAGAACAAAAACTAAGAAAGACATTTAATTGATGTATATTTTTTGGAATCATACACACCTGACAAGTATTAATTAGACTTTTCAAGTTGCCAAGGTGAACCATGTATGGGTAGCGAGAGAGAGTTTCATAAATACCACGAATGAGGCCACTAGCAGCTTCCCAGTCAACACTTCTCTAAATTAACAAGAGTGAATCAATTTGGTTCATCTGAATGGATGTGGATAATAAATTATATAAAAATTGCCAAATTAGTCATAATTTAAACAGCAAAATTATATTTTAAATAAGAACTATTTTATTATCATACACAACTCGGATGGAAATGGATATTATAATTTTAAGAGTTTCTTTGTGCATAACACCATTCAAAGTTAAAGTTAGAGACCATAATTTTATGCTCCTGCAGACTTAATTTTACTTCTTTCTTTGATTATTTCTCCAAATATGTTTGAAACTCAAACTTTAATAAATAGTCTTTTGCTAACATTTTTATTCAAAATAAAAATAGTAGAATAACTAGTTAAGTAACAGCCAGAAAAAAATTTTGACCATATCAGATTTTTATTAAATGAGTTATATGAATAAAAGTAAAAAGTTCGTAGATGTAAATTTAATATAAAAATTGTTTCACAGAACTCCACCAATGGTGAAAAGTTCCAAGACTACAATTTGAGAATTTATACATTTTACAGTATAAAACGACATATTCTGGTAGTACAAATAACTTATATAATTTAAATATATCTTAATATCTTTTACTTAAATGACAGGTTCAGAATTTTAAAAGAACAAACTATGACAATCACTACCTCACAAATCTTTTGACTGATGATGGAAGCTTATGGAGACAGACTAATAAACTTGTAAAGCATTTGTGAGGTGTCAGTACATCTCTGAAACGAAAAAGGTTCCTGGGCCATGTCGGACCTTGAAAAATCTCTTTTTCAACCATCTTTCTTCTGTTTTTACACCACATACCAACTTCCCTAATATCAAACACTAAAGATATGCACACAACACTGTAGACATTCTACTACAAGTGGAATTACCGCCATCTAGTCATAGAATTACTCCTATTCAAGTAGCATAACAAATTAAACAATTACCTAGGAAGAAAGTTCCCAGTCATGGCCTAATAAATGCTGAAGTTCTCCAGAAAATGACAAGGAAAGCCCAAGTGTACATAACATCAATTTATAACACAATACTCAGAACGACTAACTTTCCCATACAATGGAAATATTCATTCATTACAATCATTCACAAACCAAACAAGAACACCGTCTTCCCTTCATCATATAGATCCATCCGCTTGCTTCCATTATGTTCTAAAATCTTTGAGAAACGTCTCAACAAACGACTTCTTGACATACTTAGTAATGAAAAGATAATACCTGAACATCAATTTGGACTCTGTACACACCATTCATCCATTACATCAAGTGACGGACTCAATTGAGAGAGCACTAGAGCACAAATTGCCTGCAACAGGAGTTTTTCTGGATGTTGCTCAAGCCTTCAATATAGTCTGGCATCAGAGGTTATTTTTAAACTTAGGATGATACTCCCTCCAACCTACTATTTTATTCTTCAATCTTTTCTTTCTGACAGATTTTTCTCTATCTATCAAGACACAGAACTTTCTACTATTAAACCAGCCTTAGAGGGAGTGACTTAGGGGTCAGTAATCACTCATCTGTTATATATTGTTTATACACATGATATTCCAGACAGTGTCAATACTGTGAACGTGACATACACAGATGATACAGCAATCTTGACAAGACATCAAAATCCAATATATGCTTCACAGACTCTACAATACCTAAACAAATTTCACAACTTGTGCATACTCCGGAAAATTGACTCAACCAAGACAAATCACAACATGTTACTTTTATCCTTCGACGAGAAATTTGTCCTGCTATTTACCTTGACAATGTCCAAATTCCACAGACAGACAAAATTCAATATCTTGGGCTGACATTTGACAAAATAATGACATGTGGCCCACATATCAAGAACAAAATAAAAATTCTAAACCTAAGGCAACGACTATTATACTCACTCCTTTCAAGACAATCAAAATTAAAACTTAGACAAAAATTGAATACATACACTTCCTTATCTACAGTGCTAGTGGAATTATGCTTCACAGATATACAGAACAGCCAAAAAGACGTACATAAGTAAACTACAAACTTTTCAGTCAAAAACTTTCAAGACTATAACCAAGGCTCCCTGGTAGATAGATAGGTAGAAAAGTTTATTTGTTTATAAAGTACATATCAACTTTTTTTTTACATGACTTATCGACAATGAACTTCTGTTTGCATGTCAGGGTGTTTGCCTAGTTTATAGATGGATATATCTTATCTTTTAAGAATTCACAGTTTCAATATACAAAGTCAATTCATACAAAAATATTTTTAAAAAATCAAAAACATACAGTTTCTTGTAAATAAAGCAAACTGGTTTCCTGGTACGTCAGTACCATTGCTTTACACAAAGATCTACAGATGCCAACAGATTAACGAACAGATTATAAAAGATCTCAAAGTAACTTACATGGACATATCTACTCACTGATTGAAGGGATGGTCACTACCAACATGCCCAATAACACCTGTAGGAGGCTCAAAAGAAGCTCAAAGAATGATGGATCTCCTTCATTAAATTAAAACATTAAAATCAAGACGGAAAGGATGCCGTTGGGCACTCATCTGCCTCACACCTACCAACGACCTATTCCTTTCTAATTCTCATAATAGTATTTCCGACAGATACTAATTATAAAAAAAAAGATATATCTTAAATATAGTGTTATAGCATAAGATAATATTAGATAATATAATATGATAACATATTATCTCATAATTTATAATATAGTATTATCTCATAATTTAAAAATATTAACTTAAATTTATGGAAGTATTTATAATAAACAAACCCTGATACTTGGCTTCTTATATATCTTTAGAAATGTCTTGTCTAGCCTCCGAAGAAGCATAATGAGAGTAGGCCGCATAGATTCTGAATTCCACTCAGTGGCAGGCATTAACTGGGTCATATACAGTTGGAGTCCTTTGCAAGACATGGTGTCAGGATCGTATGGAGATGCTTTTAATAAAGAATGGGCAACATCTGCAAGGCGTGTTTGAGATCGCAGTTCCAACAACTCAATTGGCTTTCCATCCTGTGGAAACTTTTTATTGAGTTCTATTAGACGTGCTGTGCATCGGGTAGCAAACTCGGTAACCAATGATAAAAGTACATCTCTTGGACGTCTGAACTCAGCCTGAAAATTAAGTTAAATGTCAAATTAGATAAGCACAATGTTAACACACTTAATTAATTTAAAAATGTTACTTGCTACATTTTGCTATTGAAAATATATGATCATACAGATCAAAGTAAGGTAAGAAAAACTTCTACTGTACACCCACAGAATTAAAAGATACTATCAATGTCAAAGCAGATATGCTTACTTCACTATCATCGGAGTCAGTGTAGGTTGTTCTTGTCTTTGCTCGGTCAGCTATATATTTTGCATGACCCTCATCAACAAACTCAAATCCTGGTGAGTAAGGCGCTCTATTATAGCCACGTTGACTGCTACCCTTGTGTTCAGGACTAGTCCTCTGCGGTCCATTGTAGTTCCTACAATTTATGTTGCATTAAATTTCAATATAAAAATTTAATAAAATAGGTTATTTTTAACTATGAATTATATAAAGCTAAAAATTATAAAAACATTTTTATAGCAAAAAAATGTTGAGAATATTATCCATTTAAAAATAAAATGCTACCCTACCTTTGGTAGTGAGGAAGCAATATGAGGATATGCTACTTTTAAGAAAAGGATATAAAATTTTTTAGAAACTACTCTTTTTATTAGGGGAGTAAGGTCAGATAAATAATCAGTTTTAACTCATAAAAGCAATAAAAAGAAAAAAGTTACTTGGAAAGTGCTTCACAGTTTGTCACAAGAGTGTTAATAGCAACTGCTATCTGACTTATTATATCTCGTTCTGACTTTCCTTCTTTTCTGTAGCTAGGAAGTTGAATCTGTTGAAGATAACATGGAACGATTGCTTCAAGAATTGTCTAAAAAAAAATTATTTGTTTTAAATTTTCATAACAAAAAATGGTGCAGTTGTGAAAAATTTACAAAATACTACTAACCAACATTTGATATGCTCTAACAGAATCAGCAGAGTAGGCAACTACCATAACACATAGTGATACACAATCGAGGACTGTGACCATTTCATTGTCATCATGGTAACAGAAATCGATGGCTTTCAAAGGTTTTTCCTCTTTGACTAATTCCCCAATGTTAAGCGGATCCGGAGAAGGTGTCTCTAGACTAAGGAGTAGCTGGAAAAGGCACTGGGCAGGAACCTATGTAATTAGAATATCAATAACTTTTTACAAATTAATTGAATTCAATAGGAACTAGACAATTATATTCATTACAACATATTTTTTTTATAATCTTTATTATAATATATCTGAAATTAAATCTTTATCTATTTCATTATCTAATTTTAATAATGCAAAATCAATTTTTGAAAGGAAATAACAGTAAAATATAGTACTAAGAGAAAGTTTGAATTTCAGATAATGTAAGCATAGTTACCAGTAGTTCTAAAATAATATAGAGACGGGTTTTCCTTCCTCACTCCCTCTTTCCCAAAAGTAAGACAATTTTTGGTTTTAGAAAATGTCTACATTTTATAAACTTAACTAAACCAGTGAAGCTGATGTTTAAACATTTTTTTTTTTTTTTTTTTTTTTTATTGAATATTAATACATTCTGCCACATTGAAGGGCATTAATATTAAGGCTACATGATTCATTCGCACAATATGTACATACAATTAATAACAATAATAAAGAAAAAGAAATATAAAAAAAATAAAATAAGTAAATTGGTATGCCTGTGTACAAAAAAAATAATGAAATAATAGATAAAAGCTAGATAAAATTAAAGTAAATAAATCGCATTCACACCTATGTACAATATTTACATTCACCCAGACTCTGAGTCATGCCTTATTTCCCGAGGTGGAAGCCAAGGCAGGACTCCAGGAGATCCCAGTGCTTCTCCCTCAGCCGCGCCACTGATTTAAATTTTTAAGATTAATTTATCTTATACCTCATTTTTAAACAATGTTTATTGAATTTTATGAATCTTATTTACTTTTATCATGAATTATTTTTGTAAATAAAATAATATCCCCTTTTAATCAAATTACCTTTTTAATAAGATAATTTTATAAATATATGAAATATCGATGGCTCAATTCAAAACTGAAACAACTCAAAAGTCAAGGTTATGAGATAAGCGAGCTCAAACCTTATAAACAAGCTTAAAAAATTAAATGATATATTCCATAGTAAAAACATTAATTTTTATACTGATGCTGAAGGCATTTTGAAATGGTTCAGTTTTGTACCAAGGTGTATAAAATTATCTATTATAATAACAATTAAAATGGGTAATAACAATTTGAAAATTATAAAAATTAAATTAGGTATTATGTATCATTACATTATAAAAATTAAATTAGGTAACTTTATAGACCTTGTTTGCACAAAACCAAGTACAATATGAAGAAGAGATTACAGGCCATAGGTATCAGAAGAAAATGGAAAACCATTGATTTTTTAGTAGTTTCAGTTTCGAACAGAAGCATATGACTTTGCAAACTTATATAAATTTGATGTTGAACAAATCAGTTTCTCAAAACACTGATCATCAAATGCTTTAGCGAGACCAAAACACTGTAAGAAAAACTAATTTTTTTGGCCTTATTGAGAAAAAAAAAATTAAAAACTGCAAATATGATAATTTAAATTGTTATTAACTGTAGCATATCGGATTGACATAAGACTAAATCTAGCTTGACCAGTCAACATCTTTTGCGGTTACAGCCATAAAATGCCTCCTTTATAGTAAAAAAAAATAAAAAATCAATTCAATGGTATCCTATCAAAATGTGAACTGAATTATCTTTATTAGCCATCAAATTAAGTATTACATAAGATTAATTGCAGTCCAAAAGAAATATAACACTTAAGATGAAATAATTAATTTAGATTCAATCTGAAAATCACTGTTTCTTCAAATGTGCCTAACATAGTATGATCTAACCAAAATAAAACACAAGGTTTGCCAAGAGATGGAAATTGAACTTCGAAACCTTATTGAAGCCCAGGGCTAATCCCTTTCTTTTTTAAACAGAAGCCATTAAATACCAAATTTCCCTGATATAACACAGCATAAGTAATCTCAGTGGAATTGGTTGGTTATTGAATTAGAGATTACGCCGATACTGAAGAGCTTGTGGATCGATGTTAAGAGAAATTTTTGTTCTATATTAAATTTTCTTTAAATTAAAAAAATTAACTACTCTCTTTGTGTGTGTCCCTTTTTTTTATAAATATCCATCTCCCATAGCAGAAAAAGAATAATAAAAAAATTAAAGCATAAAGATATTAAATCCTAATTTTAAATAATAAATCATAATAACTTTCAACAGTTTTAAATAATGAAGGAAATGATCATTGCCAAATTAAAATACCATTTCATAATATTTCTCTCACCTTCTGCCCATCACCAAACTGAGCTGTAGAATCGATATCAAGAATCGGTGATGCTGCACCAAACATCTGTAGAATGAAAGGCTTTCTGTTCATGAGGTAGAATTGTTTAACACAATACTCAACTGTCTTGGTGACTAGTTTGTTTGTTTGATAGGTAGCATACAGTTGAAGCAGAGTTGGTACAACCATCATGTATCTATCAGGAATAATAAGGTCAATATTAATTTTATATTCATGTACTCTTCCATAAGATTGTATAGATAATGTTCACAAGATGATGGTATTTAGGATTTCTGAAATGATTTGGGAATAGGACCAAGATAAGAACAAGATTATTTCCCTACAGGAGTTCTTTACATATTGAGCTTCCTCCATTACCTTAGCCTGTACTTATAGTCCATAGTACCAGAGGTGCCCTTCCCTACCAAGGTCCATTGGGCATCTCATAACAAGCTTACCCTAAATGCCGAGAAGACAGAAGCCATCTTGATAGGATCATCTTCCATCCAGAACAGCATTACCAGATCCTGAACAACACTCCTACCTCATTGCATTCCTCAGCTAAAAACCTTGGAGTCACCTTTGACCAAACCTTCTCATGGAAACAACACATCTCTAAAATCTGTCAGACCATATCAATCCTCAAACAACTCAATCATTTATGTTACCTCCTCCCATGTAAAACCCAACAACTCCTAATTTCGTCCCTTGTGTTCCCCCCACTTTGACTACAGCTGTCAGGTATGGTGGGCTCTCTGGCAAACTTGAAGCAAGACTGAAATGGCTTATGAATTGCTTAATTAGATTTGTTTTTGGGATCACCAAAGATACACGAATTACCCAGTATTATGTCGAGTTAAAGTGGCTCTTCCCGTCTCATAGGTGACAGTATTCCCTTGTGTCCTTCCTTTATCAGGTTATCATAACTCAACGCCCATCCTTCATACAACAGAGCATGCACTTTAAATCATCCATCAAATTCCGATCCACCCGATCTCATGCTTTTGACTTCTACCTTCTTCTCACCCAACTTCTGCATTTGACAAATCCTTCCTAATCCACCATGCCTCCTTCTGGAACTCTATCCTACCTATCATCCAACATGCTTCTACAGTTTCTCTTTAAAGTCTCTCCTATTCAATCACCTTTTCATTGCACAGTCTAATTAATATTGTTATTTTATACTAAATTACATTATCTATATTTCAAATGTTTCCCAGATTTCATTTTGGTGCCATTTTTTACATACTAAATTTTATTATTACTACTATTATAATCTGAGAAAGAGTTAATTGAGGGGAGGGGGGTGCTGTCAAATAAGTACTAAATTAAAATATAGTAATTATTTTAATTTTTGCCGACTTTTCGACCCATTTTGCAGGTCGTCTTCAGGGCGTAGGATTTAGCACTGCGGGAGGCAGTTGAAACACTGGCGTATTATAATATGATTATTATAGTATGATTATTATTATAGTATGATTATTATAATCATTTACATTTCTTTATTTATTTTTATTTTTTATTTATTTTAATGAGTATGATCACACTGTTTCAGCCAATATGTGCTGTAATGTTAATTTTATTTTTAACGGACTTCGTCCTACAATAATAAGTAAATTTCCATAAATTTTCATTGAGTTAGTTGAGTTGAATTTTTTTTTCTGATTACCCACTACCTCGCCATTTGTAGCATACGGGGATGAGAGGAGATTGTTCTAAAGGTTCAAACTCACCTATTCTAACCAGAGTAAGAATGTTGAGATTCATTTCACAGGTCCACCTTGAAATACATTTCAAGATGCCCAGACCGGATTACAATAGACTTCACTAGACTTGAGAATGTTAAAATTTATGTTTGAACAAACTCGGCCATCACAACCGCACTTGAGCTAGAGCAGACATAACTAGGGCATAAATCAGGAGGAAGTCAAGATTAGTAAACAAAAATCAGGGATCTCCATCCTCCCTGCCAAGAATAATGCTCTCCTCCCAAGTACTGTTGACTATGACGTTATAAATAGTTTCTGAGTGTAACACTTACATTGTTTAGAAGTAACATTGAATAGTTTTTGTCAATAATTGTCTTTGGAGAACTGTGAATTTATTTTACATACATTCTGAAGTAGTTTTGTTTTCATTAAATATAATAAAAAACTGGTGTATCATAATCATGTAAACCACTGAGTCTCTAGCAGAAATTGTAAATAAAAATAGTTACAAAATTGTGAATTAATAATACCAATAATCAATCATCAAGTTATCAGAATAGTAGATCAAACAATTTGTCTATAGATGAATTTCGTCTTAATATGAACTTACCCATTCAGTGAAAATATATTTTTGAAATTATGAGCAGCATTTATGTAAGTAGCCATTACATATCGAAGGATAGTAGCATCCTGTGAGTGGAGAATGAGAGCACCGTTCAAGACATTCAAGAAAAGGCGAATATCCCCAGAATATGCAAAATTACCAGCCATTGCTTCAAACATTCTTGCGATCAATCGAACCCACATGAATTTATGGAGAACATCTAATCCAAGTAACTCCTAGAAAGAATGACAATCATGAAAATTAGAATCTCATTCAAAATAAATTCATCTAAGAAAAAAATAAATAAATAAAATAAATAAATAGGTATAGTATAAATATTAATGAGAAAAATATTCAAACCTTTCCCATCTCACCCCCACGATAAAGATCTAAATCAGCTTCTAATGCTTTCCTAGGAAATGAAGGAAGTTTCATTAACTCCTCATGTAAAAATACTACTCTTTGAACAACCTGAAAACAATAATAGTACAAGAATATAACTTTAGAAATCAACTTTAAAAGATAAAGAGATTTATCTGATAACAAGAAGAGTTTACCATGTCAACATTCTTTAGAATAGCCCATGTGAGCAGAACTTTGCCAATCTCAACTGATTTATGCATCAACTCTTGGCGTTGTAAGGCATTAAATGCATCTTCTGGGTGCATATGTACCAATTCAAGTTGCGGGTATTGTGATCTTTTAAAGAAGTAGAAATCTCGAACATATGAGTTGGGATTATGGATTTGACCTAAGAGGGAATTTAGTTATAGTAATAATTAAGAAAAGTAATGAGCTCTAGTTCTATACAAGTTAATGTTAAAACTATAAATATATTTTTATTGATATATATATATTATCCATATATATAGTTGCAGAAATTAACATTGATAAAATCTAATGTCTAATTTTTATTTGATCAGTTTTCTTTAATGCCAATTGGGAACCACATTTTAAGTAAAAAGTTAATTATAATAAATTTAAGTAAAGCCATAATTATAATATATGATTTTAAGAAAAAAATAAAATTAAAAACTATGATTTTTAGTAAACACAAGTAAATATCAAAAATTCAATAATATTTTTGTACCATTGGTAGTTTAAATATTTTATTGCTTACCTACCTAACACTTAGTATAATACACAAAATTATTTAAAACATATTTACTGAATATAAATATGCTATCTTACACTAAAACAGAAAAAAATAAAATAAACAACTAACGAGTTTTGTGATCGACTAAAAAGAATTCTCTATGTCTCTCTTCTTCAATACCAAAGAAGTCAAGGGATTCTCTGAGTATTTGACAGAACTGAGTATCTTCCTGAACAGGAAACTGAGACGGAATTCCACATGATGATTGATCTAAAATCAAAAATATAATATCAGTAATAATAAGATCAATTTTAATCTTATTCTCCTCCCTTTTAATGTAAAAAGGATGTACCTTGAGGACCATGTACTATGATCTTCTTTGTAGAAGGAACATTGGCAGTGAGGAGAATAGAAGCATCGCACTGTTCCTTCCTCAATATTTGTTTCAGGTCCTTAAACATTATCCCATGGACACTATGAACGACCTAAAACAAAATTTAAAATAGGTTTAAAAAAATATAACTTAATGGACCCAAAATAATCTTCTACTTCAGTTTATAATCAACAACTTTAAAACTTCAGCAGAAACTAAAGTAATTGAGGCCTCAAGTAAGTCCTTTTTTACAAGTGTAGAGTAAAATAGCTGTATATATTATAACATTAGGCTCTAAGTTTGGTTCTTGTTCAGGAGCAATATAATACTACTTCTTTTATTCAGTCTCTGTTTAAAGCATCAAATCTAATAATATGTTTTCAGGTGATTTTTAGTTAACACCAAGATATAAATTTAACAATTTATTTATTATCATTATCAATGAATTAAAGTAGAAAATTTAAATTATTATTTTAAAATGAAATTCTAAACAGACGTATTGCATTTAACGCACATACAATCAATAATTTATGACTTTATTGTGTAAATTTAATTATTACCTTCATACCAGACTGAAACAACAAGAAACCGCTCGACGTTTTCTATTACTTCAGCACTTACTAGACAAACGCTCTAAACTTACAATTAATTTCAAAAGACTTATATACATGACTATAATAAGGCCTATTTGGGCTTACGGAGTTGAGCTATGGGGCTCCACTAAACTATCAAATTCTTCTCATATCCAATCCAAAATCCTTTGTAAAATCCTCAATACTCCCTACTTTGTTACAAATAAAACCATCCATGATGATCTTAATGTTTCTTATGTTTCAGATCTGACCCAATCCAGATACCTATCCTTCCATAATAAACTTCAGAATCATCCCAACCCTCTCGTTTCTTCCTCCTTCCTCCTTGCTTCCTCTTCAATTCCTGATAAACCTCCGATGAATCTGAAAAGAAGATGGCCCTGTGATCTCCTAATGTAGACATATCATTAGAGTGCTACCATTGGGTAGTTACTCAACAAGTGTTTTCACGTCATTATATCCATATGTTCAAATTTACTAAATGTATTTTTTTAATACAGTTGTAAATATCATTAAGAAATAATAGAAAAAAAAAGTATTACCTATCACTTTATTAAAGTGAATTTTCAACATTATTATTAGTGAACTTTTCAATTTTATTGTTATTGAATTGACATTATATTGAAGTTGAAAAATAAATACATAGTACTATATATATATATATATATTTTTTTTTTTTCTTTCTTTTTTTTTTTTTTTGGTTCTTTAAAGCCTTACTCTTTTTCTTTTATGTGAGAAAAAATTAAAATTCAACTACATTCAATTTGTTATTTATGATTTATATGGGGTATAGCTAAAAATAAATAAATTAGAAGCCAAAAATATGACTGGACTTATATACATAAATACATTTTTGTTGAGTAAGATTCAATGTAAGTTGAATTTGACCTAAGTAACTATCCAAGGAATGAAACCTCATGTAAGTGCACTGGCCAACAATAATAAATAATAAGTTGCAATTTTTCCAAATGGGAAACCTACAAATATGTTTTTCCTATACAGAGCTCCCAAAGAGTTTCAAACTGTCTATTAACATTCATAAAATATTTTTTATTAACTTAAGTTGTGCAACTTTATCTATCAGTTCAGGCAAGACTTGAAGCCATAAATGCATTTTTCAAAAAAACTCTTATTAGAATCAGAGTGAGTCATAAACTCACCATCCATAATATAGAGAGAGCTGCTCCAATTAACTTCTGGCCCTCTTCTTGTGGAGACCTCACGTAGAACATGACATATCCAATAATGTAGTTATAGAGGGTGAAGGCTGCTTGCTGTGGCAACCTTGGCACAAATCTTATCAAATGCCTCAGCACCTGTATTGTAAATCAGACAAAATAAAATATCTTTATCATAAAATAAAATGTTTAATGAACACAGCTGTGTACCTTGAACATCATTTCTTGATCTCCTCTAGTCAACCTTTCCAAAATATAACGAAGAAACAAAGCACTATCTTCAACCAAGCAACTCCAAATTACCTATAATCAAAACATATTTTTGTAACCATATAGGATATTCTATTAAATAGATGTAAGTTAAAGAGGTCAATTTATATTCTTTACATATTAAATATACAAACAGTTCAAAAAACTACAACAAATTAAAATTACAAAGAGAAACAAGTTTAAAAGTCCTAAAGAGATGTTTTTGACCTTATAACAAATAGATTTATTTTAAATAATTAATAATTATTAAATATTAAGACTAATAGAACCACAGTAGGAAAGTATTGAGAATATTATTTTATGAAGAAAATATAAAATGAAAAACTTGAAATAATTTTTAATTAATTAGTAACAACAGAAAATAAATAATTGTTTCTATACAATATACAATATCTATGAAATATATATATTTTAAATCGAAATAATAGGGTGTATAAAAAAAAATACCATTTTATCAAATTCAAGATTACAAAGGACTTTAAATATTTTAATCCTATTTAATAATTACCAATACTTAATAATCCCTTTAAAGCATTCTCTAAGCTTGTTTAATCTCATTCAACTTCTTCAAAAAAAGCCTTGATTTAGTTATTTATTTCAAAGAAGAAACATGACAGTGTTCTACTAAATTCTTGTAATTTTAAGGCATTACTGGAAAAAAATTTCAGAGCCGTTGAAGCAACTCGTGAAATTATTAAATATGAAAGGAAAGGTGTCCTTGACCAGCGCACTGCATGGCGTTGGTTTTTAAAAATTTAGCAGTGATGATACGATATTGGAAAGGAAGGGCTCCGGGTGATCATTAATGGATATTGATGAGGTTTCGCAGAAAGCTGTGAGTCAAATCTGTCCACAAGTACTAGCGAACTTGCCAGGAAGTGTGGTGTGTCAAAAGATACTGTTAGTCGCCATCTACTCTCCATGGGAAAGGTGAAAATGAGCAGTAGACTGGTCCCTCACGAACTTACTTCTCAGAGGTTAGAAATTTGTAAAACCTTATTGAAAAACCTTTCTGATATGAGATTTTTCCAGAAGATTGTCACCTATAATGAAAAATGTGGAAATCCGAATACCCATGAGCAATGACCAGATCACGGAATAACTGCTTTTCCAGTTGCTGCAAAGGGGCAATTCGAAAAAAAATCCATGCTTTGCACTTTTTGCAATTTGAAGGTGTTATTCATCACAAATTTCTTCTTGATGGATGCTCTATGAATTCGGAACTCTACTGCGAACAACTGGAAAGATTGTAAGCGAAGTTGTCAGAGCGTTATTACCATATAGTCCAGACCTTGCACCATTGGATTACTACTCCACGACTCATTTTTCTCAAGGGAAAAAATTTGATAATTTTGCAGAAGTTGAAATTGTGGTCCACGAGTTCTTTGACAGCCATCCCAAATAATGGTATCAGCATGAGATCAAGTAATTTGCTTGGTTGTATTTTCAGCAATTGGTATTAATTGTATTTTATATAAAAGAAATAATAATATAAATATCTGGTTGAAAACAGTATTTTTTTTATACACCCTATTAAAACGATTTTTTATTTTCAACTACAAAGAAGATAAACATTTTATTATTTACTGATAATAAGTAAATAAATGGTAGCACCTTATTATTCATTTATATTTACAAATGCATGTTACCTGATAAGCAACTTCATAAACAGCAGAGCCATCACTAGATACGGCAGCATCGTCAAGCAAGTTTATTATCCTTACTACTGCAGTACAAAGACATGAAGGGAATAGGGACTGCGCAGAATGAATATGATGGGATGTGTTTCGGGAGCCAACTTCAATAGCTTCCTCATCGCAACCTCCAACTGTTAAGAAAACATAAATCAGATCAGAATTATTCCTTCATTGCACATCATACTTATTAGAAAGTTTATTATTACGCAAAACTAACATTAGAAAAATAAATTAAGCTGATTTATCCCAGATGAATCAGGAAAAAGAAGGTAAATTGTGATTTACTTTATTATGATGGAGATGACAATTAGGGCGAGAGAAACACTAATTTTGAAACATTGGTTAGTAAATAAAAACAAGAAATACTATTTTGAATTCATTGTAATTGTCCTTCTTTACCCTGCCCTACCACCACCTGATAATAAATTTAATTATAACTTGCTTCAAAAGAAATTAGAACAATCAATTTTTAAGAAATTATTTTAAAATTACAATTAAAAGTAAGATGTAATTAGAATTATTCAGAAGTAAATTTTATGTTATTTATATAATTGTTTTCATTGAACTTAAAAATTAAACTAAGATAACTCATATCAATATATTGTTCTAACAGAGGAAAAACATCGAATGATGTAAATAAGGTTAATAATACAGGACGGTCTTGATAAACCTAACCCCTAGTAGCCCAAAACCTCTGGTAATCCAAATAAGAAAGAAAAAAAGTTAAATTGACTGATAAGAGACAAAATGAAAATGGCTCTGTTTTTCAGTATATATTACAGGAATTGTTTCATGTGGTAATATCAAAATCGTATTATGATGTTTCTAAATGGAAAATACTAAAACTAGATGATCATCCAGAAGTTGAGGAATCTCTTAACATATGGTTTTTACAGCAGAGATTACGAAGGTTCCGATTTCCAAGGATATATTAGCTAAAAAAGGCAAAGTTTTTATTGAAGAATGATTTTAAGAAGGATAATAAAGCAGATTTTAAAGTCAGTAAATGTTGGCTTGATAATTTCAAAAGCAGGTAAGGAATATGTTTTTTATATCAATTTTTATTTTACTGAACAATTTTTGAGCAGTCGTTTTATTTTTCATTATAGATAAGTCATAGAAACGCCATAAAGGTATTTAATAATTGCTTGCAGTGGCTGAATAGATATGTCGACTACCAAAGCCTGCAGATACTTATAATGAATTTGTGAGATCAGATATTTTCTTCAGCAACAAAATATGAGACTCAATGTACAGTATATGATTATTTACAGAATTTATTTTTTTTTGTTATCAATGTGTATATTTAACTGATAATGCATATTTTTTTGTAACCTACAGTAATTTCTTCATCATTTTAAAATTAACCTTTGATAATCTCAACATTTTGATAATCCGAACAAGCCATGCAATCTACCTGTTCGGGTTATCAAGACCGTCCTGAATTTCATCAAATACAGTAAAATGTTTGAAAATTGATTAGGCAGGTTTTAGAAATATCTATGTATTTTTAAACTTCTGTTTGTATATAGAACTGTGATACTGCAGTTATGTGATGTAAATAGACTGCTGGATTAACGATATTTACATTTCCTACATCAATATAATACAGTTCGTGTTATTTTGATGGTCTTAATGAGTTTTGAATTGATTAATAAGACTGAAATTCAAAATGTATTCCTTAGTACTTAACTCCATTAAATATTGACTTCAAAGACTTTTTATGATAACAAAACTTTGGCAGAATATAATTTCTGCTCAAAGTAGGATGGTAAGTGAAATTTGGGTGATGTGTGCACCAGATTTTAAATAATGTTTCTTCACTGATGGTGAAAATAAATTTTTCTCAAACATTTTGAACGTTATGAACACCAGATCACAGAGTGACAGTGCCCATTCCACATAACGATGTGACAGTACTGGTGGAGCAGTGAGGTTCCACAGATTCTCGGTTTGGAACAGTGAAAACTTCTTCCACTCCCTTAGACCTTACTAGTCCAGTGACAAAAGTCTTCTTATCCATTCCCTTACTTAATTTATGAATATATTAATATGTTATATATCATATTTATTAACCAACAGTCTTCTTGTCCATTAATTAATTAATATGTCGTAGGTTAACAGCAAAAAGATATTTCATTACTTTAAATAATTAATCCCTTTATGAAACCAGAAGATTGTGTGTTGTTGTTACTTTATTCTATACATAAAACAATTTGTGTCATTTCCAAGCATTTCAGTGATTTATATCGAAAAATAAAGTCAAAATTCACAAAAAGCATATTTGAAAGTTAACCTATATCAAAAATGCACTTAGTATAATTGCAATAAACATCCGATATAAGCATACATAAATCATATTTGTTATATGAAAACAATGTGATTTGTTTAGTTGAATCTCAATATCCAATGAAAATATATATTATTAACAGTCGAGAAAATAGTATTTTTAATTTGAATTAAAATTTTAGCTGTGTTTGATTAATATTTACTAATTTTCATAATCGATTCATTCCATTCAAATATTTTTTCATCAATTTGATACTTGACAATTGAGAAAGAATAGCGACCCAACACCACTGCTCCAATCTGACTGTGCCAGTGACCGAGAACCGGTAAGGCCCAACTCTGAGGGGCACAGGTATGGAGCAGCCAGTATGTCTGGGACCAGAGTCGCAGCGACCTCAGTAAAAGGAGTTCTTAATTGTTATGTATCAAATTGTTAAAAAGAATATTTGAATGGAATGAATCGATTATGAAAGTGAATAAATAATAATAATTTAAATAATTTAAGGCTTACTAATTTAAACTAAAAATAACATCACGTAGAAACTTTAATCCATATCATAATTATTCCAAACAGATGCTAGAATGAATTCTAAGATTAGAACAAAAACGGAATGTAATGGAACCTAAAAGTGTTACACTCTGATGGAATAAAATTCTAAAATCACGTCGGAACGAGAGAAGCTGTTTCAGTCGGAACCTTTTGCTGCCTAAAATTTACTCATCAAACCTAAAGACGTTTACATTCTTCTCTTAGATTACATTCCAGTTGAACCAAGTTTCCTAGGGTCTTGTTCCGTTCTGAACCGTTCCGATGGTGGAATTCGTTCTGCGAACCATTCTGCCCTGAAGGATCCATCCCTACACATCACAATTCTGGCACCACTGTTCCCAGGAATAATTTTTTTATCAATCAATTAAAAACCTTAAGTAACAAAATATAATAATATATTTAGTTTTTCTTTTAAGTTTTAAATTAGGTAAAATAAACTTAGATGATTTTTCATAATATTTTGAGCTGCCAGAGAAAAGCTTGAGAATTTTAAAAATGACATAACACTGGCAGAACTAGTTGAGTGTGAACAAAGAAATAGATAATTCCAATAATTGATTGCTATGAATCACCTTCTTCATGGTCATCGCCAACAGCATGATGCAGACTAGGCTCGTAGGCAGCTTGAATAGTTATTGGAATAGTAGTCACCATGAAATTTTCTCTTTCGCATCTCTTCTTATCTTCTCTAGCTTGTAGTGCCATCTTTATCAGTTCTGTTTGCTGTTTCTTCCTTGTTTTTGTAGCAGTTACAAGTGACCTCTGAGTAAATTAAACATTTTATTGATAAAACTATCATAAAAAATTTAATTAAAATAAAATTAGAAGAGGAATAAGACTTACATGACTTTCTTGACTAATTGCAGTAACTTCTTCCACTTTAGTCTTTACTTGTGGCATCCAAGGTGGATCAACTACAGGCAGAGATTCTATGCCAATTTTTGGAGATGGAAGAGTGAATTCAATTCCAGGAGGAGGGACCTTGAAGGTTAGTTGTGCCCCTTCTTCCATCCTACACCAAACCTGATGACGCATTTTCCAAAGTACCTTAAATCTGAAAGAAAAATTTAAAAAAAAAAAGTCAAGTAACTTTTTATAAACTGTAATTGGATTCAATTCTGTGACTGTATACCGCAATATTGCAGAGATCCTGACAGCAGGGTCTGGATGGCGGAGCGCAGCATCCATAATCTTAGCAGCCTGGAGAGGTGCTCTGACAGCAGCAAGTATGAAGAGTGCTCCAGCAGCAGCTGCAGTTTCCTGGCAAGGTTCGAGGCAAAGGTGCCAGGCAGATGGTAAGGAATCAGCAAGCAAATCTGCACTTATAGTGCAGCCGCCTTTTGTTAGTGCTTCTAGAGCTCTGTGGAACCCACAACCTACCTAATAAAATTAAGAAACAAATTATACTAACATTTAATAATCATCAATTGATGACTAAGAGATAGTAGTGTGAAAGATTGAATCACAAATAGAAAATAAATTAAATTTTCAAAAGTTTATTTAAGTGTTGAAGAAAAACTCTTAACTATTATGCTAAAATAATAATGACACAACTATTTTCATTTTGGTTACATATAAGAGTTTTTTTTTTTAACTTTTATTGTACTAAGTTCAAAATACAAAAATATTATAAATCTAATTTCAATAATGTGAAGGAAAAAGTCATAATAAAAAAATAACTATTTAACAAAGATTTATTTTAAACTAAATTGTGAAGAGTAAAATACTTAAATTTATAGTCCGTGGTATAGATCCAGGAAGAAATAATGGCAGAGCTTATTAGGCTACAACATATGGTTTATAATAAAGTTGTTTATGTATATATATATATATATATATATATATATATATATATATATATATATATAATAAATTTAAAATTTATCTTTTCAGCTTTAAATATTCTTTTCTAGTTTTTTTGTTGTAGGTTGTGGGGAAAAAAAAAAAAAAGATTCAGTATGATTATATGTTATGAATAATCATATAGAAAATAATCTAACGAATGTAATTTTATTAAGAACTGTAATTTTAGCCCCTACAAATCAACAGCAATATATAAAATTATGTTTAGAAAAAAATTATAATTAAAGTTGATTACTATTATTCTTTATTCCATTATAGACTGTGGTACAGAACTCTTTTTATCAAATTAATAACATCCACCTGAAACTTCATAAATAGCTTCATCTCATCGTAACCTACATGAGATGAAAACGTTGTGTTTACGAAAATTCTTGGAATTGGGGAGTTTTCAATCCGGAGGGGTTCAAGTTTTGTTTATTTAATTAGGTAATAAAAACTCATAAATACCCATTTGCTTTCCACCTAAATCATAAGATAATTTGATCACAAAATCGATAAAAAAGATGGCCTGTATTGAGCCGTCAAATATATTGAGCCGTTTGGTGTGACCTATATCCCCAAATTTCCAAAATGATGAGGTTATGCAGGATATTTTTGTAGGCCACCCTTTTTATCGATTTTGTGATCAAATTATCTTACGATCCAAGTGGGAAGCAAATGAGTATTTACGAGTTTTATATTATAATTAAATAGATTCCAATTCCAACAATTCTCATAAATAAAATAGTTGTAGGTTACGATGAGATGAAGCTATTTACAAAGTTTCAGGTGGATGTTAATAATTTGATAAAAAGGGTTCTGTACCACGGACTATAATGAAATGCAGAATAATTTTCTTCAACTTTCAAAATTATAATTTTATTATAAACATAATTTTATATTGGAATGTAAATATTACATAGTGAATTTAAATAGTGGTGCTACAGTCACGAACTACTATCAAAAATGGACAGAGAGGAGGAGAAAGACAAATGGAAGGGGAAGCAAGCACCACATTTTAAGTACAGAAAGGAACTGCCCGGCAAGAAAAGATCATAGAGGCCTACAGAGAAAATGACAGGTTGGCAAGAAATGAGGGTCTAGATGAGTACAGGAAAATAGAAGTTTAATACAGCAACAATAATACAAAAGAAGATTCACTGCAGAACAGGGTGAGTGCAAAATAATTCGATAGTTAGAAAGCTCGCCAAGAGTAAACAAAATGGAATGGAAACCCTATTGCCTCAGGAATATCTGCCATCCATCTTTTTCCTGATCGACCTCTCTTTCTCTTTTCCAATGAAATATGTTTAGATATCCATTTAGGTCATTGGTCATCCGCCATTCTAACAACATGTCCAAACTCAGCTTTTTTGTCTCAATGGATTTCATGATGTTAAATGGTTCTTTCACAGTTTCTCAAATGGTTCTATTTGAAACATGTTGTAATTTGGATATTCCACAACTAAGGCTCCAAAAACCTATTTCCATTGATAACAGTTTTCTTGCTAAATCGGTTGAAATGGTCTTAGTTCCTGAGGCATATAATGTAGTGCTCATAAGAAATGAATGAGAGAGTCTCTTTTTTTTGTTTTTTCATAATTATATTTAATATAGAGTCTCTCTTTTTTTTATCATTTCATAATAATTATTTTATAAGGAATATTTTCTTTTTAAATATAAATGCATAATAAAAATGGAATGGAATCATAGTTTGGTACTAATGCCTGGCTAACCAAGACTTGCTTCTCTCCAAACTGAGTAAACTAACTTATACTTGATTTTTGAGCTATAGCAAATGAATCATTACAATAAACTAATTATTCATGAACTAATAAATGATATAAATTAATAATGGTAGTTAAGATTACCAAATAATATCTATCAGAAAGGTCATTTTATAAATTAAGAAACAAGTTCAAAAATCTCTTAAAGAAAACTATTAGAGTAATGTGAATAACTATTCTGGGTTCTATATTTCAGTAACTTTCTAATTAACAGATTAAATAGAATGATTAATGATATAACAATCATCAGATAACTGTTTTAAAAGAGGACAAATTAAAAATCAAACTTTAAAACAACCATCTAAAAGCTCATTATTATTGAACAAAAACAAAACAAATGTAAGCAACCTGAGTTTTGATATATTTGAGAATTGGTGGAGGCTCCTTTTTCTCTGAAGGCGTTTTACCCCTGCCATCTTTATCATCTTGATCACTGGTAAGAAAATCCTTTCCGTTTCCTGCATGGGAATCATGTCGTTCTGACCTTAAATAGAAGAAAAAATTTAGATTTTAGAAAATAACAAATTTAAAAAACTTCATCAATGAATTTTATATATTAATGAATGATAAATAAAAGATCAGTAAAAATTCAATTAGAATCTATAATAAATAATAATGTTAATTTTCTCATTGCACTATTTATACTGTATATAATTTTCAATACAAGAATAACCAAAAAAAAAAAAAAATTAGGCATACCAAAAACATAGGCTAAATAATTTCATCTACCTAAGGTCTATTTTTTACTATTTAAGAAAATTAGTTAGAAAATACTCATGAATAAAATGTATCCCTGAAGATGAAGATAAAAATCTTTGAAGCTTTGGAAAAAGTTAAGGCATAAAAGAGAAAGACTAAATTTAAAATTATTGATATTATTATTAGAAGTAAAAATTAAAATTAGTTAGATTTTTACTTGTCTTTATCACGCTTAGAATCCTTTCCTCGATTAGGAGATGCTTGTTCAGAAACTTTTCGACTTCTCTTCCCTTCCTTTTTGCTGCTTGTATCGATAACTTCTTCTCGAACATTTAAAATCATACCGAATTCTTCCCCATATACCTAAATTAATCAGAGCATTACTAGTAATGAAATAATGAAAATTATTCAATAAATTGGTAGAAAATCTAAAATAATTGTTTCAATCAATAATGGTTAAATATTATTTAGAATGAACATGTTTTCTCTGTTTTCCAACAAATATGGAGTATAATATAATAAACCATAAGTAAAGTTATACCAACATACCTACATTATGTATTTTAACAAATCTAAGTTGAAAAAAAAATCCTAAAAATTTAAATTAAATTGAAAATGATAAGCATACCTGCCTAACTGCTTTGATAAGTCTAGAGGTGGCTCTTGCATGTCGTCGATAGCAGAATGGATGACAAAAATGTTGATGTGAGCAAAAATAGTTGTAAGAATTTAACATTTGAACAACAACCTGTAAATATTTGTATTATTATTATTATTACTATTACCGTATTAAATTTTATTATAACTACAATAAACATCTCCACTTAAAATAAATAGGATACAATGAAATAGATATTGTTGGTTTAATACAAAAAGTCATTAAGTGACATGTCATAAAATTATGTCACTAAGTACTCTGAACAATTTTAGCTGAGTGGAATCAAATTTTCTAAAATTATTTTTGATGTATTAGATATAATAATATAATGGAATTGATGTAACTTTGATCCATAATACTGTAAGATCCATAAGATTATTAGCTTTAATTTTGTAGAGATAATCTTTGTCGTCTTTGTCAGTTTTCCTGACAAGCGAAAACCCAAAAAACAGCTATAACCAACAGGAAAATTTTGTTTTTTCAAAATTAGCCATAGTTGAGGACAGATATATCATAAACAAAACTAAATAGAGAAAAATGGTATATAATCTATCATTGCAAATTTTATCAGTTTTAATTTTGTAAAGATAATCTTTGTTGATGCAATGGATAGTTTTTCTGATATAAACAAAAATCCGAGAAAATGTGAAATTCTAGGTGCCCCCTCCCCCACATCTGGCTCATCACCTAGTAGTGGGAACTTTTAGTATGTTTATATCCTTACTAGACAAAACAATGTCCCAAAGTCAAACTTTAGGTCCCCACCATTTCCTTCTATACCATACCCCCTTTTTCGAGCATTCATTGACTGAACTAATAATATCTTCCACAATTATTGTATATACTTTAGTACACATCACTATTATATAACCCTATTGTGACATGTAAAATGATTCTAAATCAACAATGAACTTGTGCTCATATCTCTTAACTAGTAAAACTCCATGACTTTTAGGGGTCTAGTGAAATCCCTTCAGACAGGCAAATCAAATTAAAGCAACTTTTTTAAAAATAAAAATCAGGATACATATCTAACCAGTCTAATAATCAATCATGTTCATCATTTAGTAGGAAAAAAGAAATAAATAGAATATATTTTTTAAATTTTAGTAAAGAAGTTGGAACAAAATTTTAAGGTGGAAACAATTTTCGAAAAATAGTTTTCGAATCAAGCAATTTATACTAACTTTGGAATTGTACTAATTTAAATCATCACAAATTGATGATTAATGTTAAAGAATAATTTGATTTTTATCTTCAAAAATCATATGAGAACAATACCTTTAGCCAAGGCATGTTGGAAGTGTCATCTGTATCATTAGTACTGGTTGGGCTCTCAGGAGCATCTGAAAGGGCACCGGGGCTCTCTTCCCCACTCCCAGCACCAGGTTCAGAGGTGTCCGATCGATCAGACAGGGAGCTCACTTTACGTCGGTTCTGAAGAGAGTCGCTCCTCTTGACTGTAGATTTTCAATCAATTAAATTTTGGTAAATTAAATTTTACTATTTAGTTATTTTTTTCTTTTCACATCAAATCTAATATGTTTGCACAATATTTGCTTTTTTAACAAGCTGTAGAATAGTTTTCACATTTGCCATGCATCACTATCTCAATAGAGATTGTTCTAGTAAAATCTAAATTGCTCATAGCTTGTTTGCATCATTTAAGTCTATTGCCTAGTGCCAAAGTAGCATACTGAAAGCAAAAGGACCCAATGTTATTCTATTTTTTAGACTGATCTAACCGATTTAAACATTCTTTGCATATTTGTAACTATAAATATAACGGTCCTTTAACTTATATCAGCATATAGCATTGTATGAGGCTATTATTAGCCAATAGACTATCCTAATTAAACATCTATTTCTTTCTATCTTTCTTCCATTAAAAAGCTCTATCAAAGCATTTGTTAAGAAATTATTATAATCATTATTGATTAATTAGCTAGCAGAAACTGTAAGACTTTGATTTTTTAATAAAAATATAACTTGCCTTGTACATTAACTAAGTGAAGTAAAAATTATCCTGAATTAGTAATTTAATTGAATAAGTTGTTATATAATATTATAAAAGAAACCATCACAATTTTATAAATAATAAAACCCCATAAGGTCTCAGAGCACAAATGGAAAATGCCACAAAACATCAAAATAAAGTCAAATAAACAAAAACACACTTAAGCCTAGCTACAGAAAAACCTATTATAGCATAAAATTGCTCCCGATTATACATTGCATGCTCCACAAACCACTCATTGACTTACACCACTTATGCTCTGAACCCCTGTGAAACTGAAACTGAATAAATGTCATACAATCTGGATCAGCTGTCCGTGGGACATCATAGGAGGAGCCACCAGGTTCTTTGCTTCTTCTGAGCTTGAGGCTTCGACGTTTAAATGATCCTCCTGGGACACCTGACGTTGCTGTACCTCGTCTCAATAACAATGGTCTCTGTCTACGTCCTTTGTCATTTTCCTCCATCTGATAGTAAATGTACAAGTTTGATACTGAAACTATTATCTTACATAAAAATTAGTTTCAAATAATTTAAATAACTTCAATAAAACCAAACTCATTTAAATTAATGGATTCATTCTTATTTCTAAAACCAAATGGTGTGAAAAAATTAATTTAATTTTCAACAGAAACCCAAATAAAGAGTTTCAAATATTAGACACAAAAAAAATCTAATAAAAGTTGCTTGACTAAAGAACCCTAATAAAAGTAAGCTTAATACTCTCCAGGATAATGTCAAATAGGCACAGTCCAAATAAAAATCTTTGCAAAAACAGAGAAAATTCAAATATGGTTCATCTGTCCTGAATTGAATATGACAAAATATCATCAATAATTTTTCTGCTTTCATAATTTAAGTTCAATTAACATCATGCTGTTAACCCATTTTTTAAATTTTAAACATAAAATTAATTTTTAATCAATGGATAAAAAAAAACATGGTATACACTTAAGACCACACAATAGCAGTGAAAACATCAAAAAGATAGGATTAATAATATAATTATAATATAATATAATTTTTTTTTAACGGTTTTTTGTTTTATATTTAAAAATTAATAACATTTACAACATATACAATTTATAATTGTATAATTATAATTGTACTTAAATTTTAGTTGAACAATTTAAATTATAATTGTACAATTTATGATTGTATTTAATTTATAATTGTATTTAAATTATAATTTATATAAATTAGTCTAATATAAACTGGTAAACTATTCTTTGTAATGAGCTATTATGCAATATTGTATATTGAAGTGAGGCCACATTAGAGAGCCAAAGAGAAAAAGAAATTGTCAAAAATCAAATGATAACGAGTTTTTGATGTTAATTGAACTTAAATTATGAAAGCAGAAAAATTATTGATGATATTTAGTCAAAGAGCATGCACATTAAGAATTTACAACCAGTGCATGAATACACCTATTATGTGTTGTACTGTCAGCTGGCCCCCTCCTGCATTGGCAGAGTGCTGCAAACCAGCAAGACTGAAACATGTTGCGGGTTTAGAAGGTAAAAACGTTTTGGGGGCGATTCCCACACAACACATTAACTCAATTACTGTACTTAATTATCGGTATTAACTCAAACCGATTTTTTACTATTTATTAATTAGAAGTATTTTATCAAAATATGCATGATTTTCATAAAAAAAAAAAAATATTTCTAGTCAGATTCTATACCTAATTTCATTTAGTTTCCTTCAAAACTTTAAATTTCCGTAACACCTAACACATATGAGATCCATTAAACTAGAGAATTTCCTCTGGTAAATTTAAACTGTATAGTATATTATTAAAGTATTTTAGAATATAATTACTAAGTAATCAGCTGAACATCATAATTAAGACACATAATTGTTATATACCTGCATTGTGAGGGTTGTATTGCTACTTCCTTCTGATTCATTATCAGGTTCCTGGAGTACAAAGCTGATCTTTCTCTCAGACTGGCCTAGAATAGATTTATAGATTTTAATAATACTTCTATTTTTAAGTCACAATTTACCTGAAAATTTTATTAGCTTAAATTGATGGAATCGAAAAATTGATGAGAGAATCATTTAAGGTTCTAATTTAATGATTGCTGCTGTTATTGGCTTCAAACTTTTGCATTCATTAAGCTCAATTATTATTATGAAGATTTAATGAAATAAATTATATTAATCTAAATTGTACAAGTACAAATGACAGTTAAATTTGGAGAAACAGATACTGTCTCATGATCACCATATTAGTTCTATAATGAAAATACATGTTCATAGGATAAATTTTGAACAGCATTATAAGAAAAAAAAACACAAATAATAATTTTAATAATCCTGCACACACTGTTATCCACTGCTATGTTAATAAAATTTCAAAATGTTTATACATTAAAATATATATAATAATACCCTGATCAGGTATTGACTGGAGACTATGAGCTGATGCTTGTGAGTGTCCCATGGAAGACAGTGCCATACTCCAGCGGCGGTTAGCTTCTTTCTTATCACTTACGTGCACAGATGTTCCACCTCTACTGGAAGCACTTACTTTTGGCAGATTTTGATAAGTCTCACGTAAAAATGCAGTAATTTCCAGAAGCAATGTACAGGCTATCAATCGTAAAGCCATCGGGCATGAAGATCCATACTCATTTCTTGTACCACATGCTGTAATGAATAAAAATATTATGTTCAACTGATATACTCAAATATTTTCAACTAATATGAAATAGAAGATATTTTATAAAAATAAGAACTTTCTTTTTATAAATGCACTATTTGTTTTTTTGTTTTTTGTAGGATTTGTTTAAATTTTAGTAAATTTGTGGTACATAGAAGAAACTAACTGCACTATACTGAAGTGAGAAACCATATTTCATGTTCCAATTAAGATTTTAAAATATAATTTTATACTAATAATTTTTAATTTAAAAAAATTCAAGGACTTTTTGTCATTATTTATAAAACAACAGAAAAATAACCTTACCCTCATCTAGAAAATCTTCCTCTTCATCTTCTATTAATAGATCTTTTTGTTTGTTTTCATCTTGTAGACTAGCAATGACATGAGGAACATGGGCCTTATCTTCTGTAAGCATTTCTTCCAACCTTTGTCCTAATATCTAATGATTAAATCAAAAAAGAATTTATATAAAACTAACATGACTTCACCTCAAAGACCATAGTTAGGTATATCAATAGCTATTCATAAGCAAATTATCAAATTTTGTATTATAGTCTAAAAGTATTAGTATTATTTTTTTTTTCAATCTGTCTAGATAACAGATATTTATACATCAACAAAACTCTGATAATCTTTTTATGGTAAGCTGAGATGATTCAGGGGCCATCTCATGATCCTGGGTCAAGAAAAAAACTTAATTCTTGAAGAGATGGAGAGTGAATTAGAGTATATAATGCTTATAAAAAGTTTAACTCAGCTTTTACATTCTCAACACAAGAGAGGCATTTTTACAAAAATAACTCTAGATTATTTTTCAATTAACAACATTCATAGTAACCTTACTTTACTTTAATACATTTTGCCAGAACAATCTGCCAGAGTTCTCTGGCACTAGCATTGCCAGGCCTTTAGATGCTTTACTATTTAACCTACATTTAGAAGTTAAGATAAATTGATGAACTATTAAAGTTATTATGTGAGATTAGTTAAGGTTGGTCATTAATATAATAGGTAAAGAATGATTCAACAATATTTTAGTTTTAAGTTTTTGGCTTTGCTTTTCAGAATGGTTAAAATCAATATTATTGCAAACATACCTCCGCCCATTGGTAGAAGATGTTACCAGCAGTCCTCTGCAGAAGGTGTGTTCGTCTTGCACTGTTTGGATTAGGCCGACTTGAAGGTGGTGGGCCAGATGGGCGGAACAGAGGAAGATTGTGCTTTAACCAAGATGGCCACTGTCCCTTATTGCACGAGTGCACAAAATGAGCACATTCCAATAAAAATGCAGCCCTTGATACTATAGGTGCATGAGGCTGGAATAGTATCAAATTATTACTTTCTACGATAATAAATTAACAAAAACTTTTATTTATGAAATAAAATATACCATTAAATATTACAAAGGAAGGAGATAGTCTGGGGTTGCGGTCATAAATAGGCTAAATAATGGTAAAACTATTTTATTATATCTTGGCTTTCAATAAAATAGTTTTACCACTATTTAGCCTATTTATGACTGCAACCCCGGACCATCTCCTTCCTTTATAATGCAACGGTCAACTATTAAATATTCAACATTAAATATTACATATTATAAACAGATGAATAGACACAAAAAGAAATTCTAATTCTTATCATTAGGCAATTTCTTAAAAAAAAAAAATAATAATAGAAGTTTCAAAGAAACTAATAATGTTTTAAAAACACATACTTATGCCACAATCTTTATTAAGAAAGTGAAATCTGGGTCCTTAAAATTTATTTACATAAATTATTTATCAAATTTGTAGGCACTTCATTGAAATTAAAAAAAAAAAAAAAAAAAAAAAAACGTCTGCCAAATAAGGTCAGTATAGCTTCCTCACCGTTTTCATTGGCTAAAATATTACAAGGTATACAATTTTTTTATGAGAATAAAATCTCTGAGAGAAGCTGATTCGGAAATACAGTTACCCTTCAGCATTCAGGAGTTTGATATCCACGAATTTCATTTATCAGCTAATTTTAAAATGTGAAAGAGTGTCATATTCAAAGATTCTATATTTGATTATCCTTAATTTTTAAAACAATGCATACTGAACATGCATTTCACTACTGTTAGTGCAAAAGGTCGTATGTAAAAATTGATTGTTTTGCAAGAATGCATAAAAACTCATTATTTCTTTACGCTTTATTAGTATAATTTAATATTTTATTGCCATCTGCTATTTTCCATCGTAGTAGACCACTTATATCAGTTATATCAGGTTACATCAAAATGTCACCTTTAGCTCAAATAGAATAAAAGTTGAAAATTTTTATATATGACCTTTTGCACTAATAGTAGTGATATATACTTAATAGGTATGTTTTCACTCGTAAAATGGATGGAACTAAAAAATCCATAGGAAAAATTCAACTTGTTGTTTTTTCGGAGTTAACGTGACCAATGATTTCCTTCAGTCAGGACAAAATGCTTTTAAGCTATAAAATATAAAAATATGGGTGAAGTTCACATAATTTCGATATATAAGGAGGAAATTGAGACCAAGACAAACTAGTTGAACTTCAATGGAAATAAACACAATCACAAATAAGACGTTGTTTTTTCTACAAACTTAGAGTATAAATTACTTTAAATGTATTGAAAATTACACGAAATCTAAGTAACGGCAATATCATGCCAGTAACGTTAGGAATCAACCAAACAATACAGTATCAATTAATTTTTTAAATAAAATCTAAAATTTTATAACCCCATAACAATATTGTAATAATCTAACTCCCACTACATATGATCAGTGCCTTCAACATTTCGCAACCATTATATTGTTAACAATTTATATTAATTTTAATTATTAAATGGAATTCAACGAAAATGATATTAAGTTATTTCTATACTGTCCTCCAAATTTTCTCAAAATTTGAGCCAAATCGAACTCTGGGTTTTAGAGATATAGACGTATCAAGGAAAACACGTTTGCACATATATAAGAGAAAGGAACAGACAGAAATCAATAAAATTGACCCTACATTATTTTTTCACAAATACCTACTTTTTAACCTATTTTTCACCAAATCAAACGAGCCATTTCTGAAATATTGGCATAACTATAAAAATGCGTTTTCGCGTGCATAAGCGAGAGTGCTGGTTAGAATTTAATAAAATTGATATGGGACCATCTAGACACCAACCCGCACAATTCCTGAAAATTGGATGAACGGTAGTAGGCGATGTGCCCGTTACATTGATTTGACAACAGACAAACAGACAGACACCAAACCAAATTTGATCCTTGATGTCTGAAACGTAAAACGCAAGTGGCAATTTTCAATTGTGAGCACAAAAAAAAAAACCTCTCGCACGATTACAATGCCTTCCTAGCTTCGGTATTGAGGAAAGAAAACACACATTTCATATTTCTCCTTCCTGATAACACTTACATAAATGGAAATTTCAATAGCCTTCATCAGGGCTAAGAAAAGAATCAGACATGAAGGTATGAGAAACATGAGTAGTGTAGGTAAAAAAAAAAAATTAAACTAAAATGAAGTTGGTAAGATAATGACTATAGTAAGAACTAAGAGCTAAATAATAATAACCATTACAAAGGGTCGAATGATGAAGTAAACATAATCAATAAAGGTGACATAAGTATTAAAATGGGAATCTTAGAATAAAATCTAAAACTGAAAAAAAGGAATATGAAGTTATATAAGAAATGAAAATAAATAGTAAAATTAAGATATTGCAAATAGAACAGTTAGATAGAAAATTGAGATATTGTAAAGTCTATCAAAATGTACAGACAATGTATAATATAATAAAGAGTTAAAACAGAGAAAAGGAATGAAAGGAAGGAGGGAAAAAAACTGAGAAGGCTGAAATAAGAAAGAGAAAAAAGAAAAAACAAACCTGCCTCCAAAAAGGTTATTGGAGAAGTGAGTATATGGTAGCAAGGGAGGGGGGAGAGAGGAAATGTATTGTGGGGACATCTCTAATGGTTGTGTTTAGGAAACACATCAAAATTCATATTTAAATTTAATTTGAATTAAATCAAGAAACCACATCACAGCTGTTATCTCTAACATACTGCATATATACCTCAGTTGTTATTGTGACGCCGCCATTATTGAAGCGTAGACGCTCACATAAGGTGAGAGATTTACTAGACTGGCCAGTTTAAAAATTTGTAATTCCCCCGGTTTACTAAACATGGAGTAAAAACTACAGCGGCTGGCAAGGGGCCAAGAAAGGAAGAGAGAGAAGATGAACAAGAAGACTGGCAAATAGAAGAAAAGAGAAAATGCAAGTATCCCAACCCACCTATATTTATCCTCCATATAAAATTACATGTAATAAAATATAGCAATCAATTTTACATATTCACTTCTTTAATCCATTAACTCCTCTAATTTTACAGTCCACAGCAATAAATTATCACCAGCTCTTAAAGCAGAATTATTATGACAATATACCTGACAGCCTTGGAAGGGATTGGCATAGTAGATTAAACAGGTTGTCTGACGAAGTTTGAACTAAAGTACCGGAACGTAAATATTATTTTAAAAATTATTTCAAAACATTATTTCAAAAATTATTTACTACTGATTTGTAAAGTAAATTATTAAATACCAGATCTAAAACAGCAGCCAAAAGATGTGGGTGTGGCAGTGTTGCAGGATGGCAGATTTCTAAAAGTATGCTAAGGCGGTTCATTCCTGCTACTAAAATATCTTTGCGCACCATCCGTCTTGCTTTGAGCACAACCACCTCAGAATCTCTTCCTCGCCCTTCAGCAGTTTCAACAGAATTTCGTCTGCTTAAATCTGAAACATTCAAGTTATTTAGGACATAATTGTCTCATATCCAGATTTAGGATTCACTTTAATTATGAAGAAAGTGAAACTTTTTTAAGTCTCCTATAAATTTGTATAAACAAAAAGATTGTACCGGCATCAAAATATTGGAAGTGGAAAGCAATAAATATTTAATAAAACATAACTAACTGATAGAAGATAATTGATTCATAAAAAACAATATGAACTAAAGATATGAATTAGGTTTGGTTATGGTAAAGTGCTTTGAACAGTACAATAAATGAGAACATGCACATACTAGTACTAAATATAAAATTATTAAAGAAAAATATTTTTTAAAATGGTTCAAAAATAAGCCGATACTGTGATGGTTGAGAGTAAGACTGAGGTTTTATCTTGGCAAGCTCAAGCCTAGTGGCAGTAGTTAGTATGATTGGAATCCCGGCTTAAGTAGGTTGAATTTTATTTTATGACAAAACTATGGAATGGATCTTGACCACTCTGGTTAGAATAGGTTAGTTGCCATAAAAGGACAGGAAGAGGGAAAAAGATTCAAAAGTGGAAAGCTTAAATAAATTACATTTCTTTTTTTTACATTTCTAAAAATGTAAATAACCATATAATTATGGGGAAAAATATTAAATTAATTGCAAACAAATAAAATAAAAACTAAAATTATAAATGCATTATAAGTGATTACAATATGAGGTAAAAATTTTGATTTAAAAATAAATAATCAAAAGAAAAAATTGATTGATTGATGCAAAGAAACAGGTATGTATATTAAAAAGCAGACTAAAATGGATAAAATATAGAAATGGGTCATTCCAAAAAAATGAGAAAGAAATGAATATATTTTTCAAGGGAAATAACTAAAAAATGTTATGAAGGAAAAAAATAAATTATTAATTTAATTTTATTGATCTTACAACAGAATTGTGTCTCTTCTATGCTTCCATCTTTTTTCTTTCCTCTACCAAAACCAAATTTTGTAAATTGATCTTCCACTCTTCTACGAGCTTTTTGCAATGTAGTTCCAACACTAAACAAATAAAACAGTAACTGTAGAAAAAAAAAACTTTGAAATATTTTTAATAAAAAAAATATTTAAACACTACATAACACAAAACTATTTGTATACGAACAATAATTTAGATATTTTGTTAAGTTTTATGGCTAGCATCATATCTATTTAGTTATGTATGAGAATATCACTTATTAGCGCAACATGATAAAGATACTAAAATAACAAAGGAATAAATAAATTATATAAATTTTTAAAAAAATTGCCATTGTGCAATATAACACATCTCATGTTACATCAATTGATCAGCTTAGTAAGTAGCATCTTCCGGAAAAAAGCTACACTGTCCGATTAAGAGAGAATTTATCTACCCAACAATAAAATAATTATCTAAAGTTTTCAGCCTGTGGACACCAATTAGGAGTGTTGTATAGGTATTGTACAGAATATACTGTCACCAGAAGGCCTCAACAGAGCTTGTTCAATAGAGGGTTAAGATGAGTAAGTGGATGAAGGAAGATGTATAGGAGGATGGCCTTAAGTATCAGGCGGATCAGCACCCGAATCACTCTTGGTATGTGGTGCTAGATATCAACCTTAACATTCTGCAGGAGCGGTAACCACAAACAGAGCGATCAATCTACAGACTTTATGGGAGGACGATATATGAACAGAGGGATCAATCTGCTGACTTAGTATGTAGGAATACAAGTGGACGGATCAGCACCCAGACCTTGTATGGAGAGAGAGAATAGTATAAAGGTTATTGGACATAAAAGGCAGTTGGTTGAAGACAAAAAAGCATATAAGTTTCATATACTGATCAACTGCGTATAAGGTTTGAAGGGCGGAGACCTGAGGACCTAACTAATTCCTCGAAGAACTGTGGTAATCATTCCGCCATGACTAAATTGGCTATCAAGAGCCGTTACAATTACAGTTATTTTTAAGCTTTGATCAGTAAATGTTATCGCCATTAAATATTATTAATAAAAAATATTTACAATGTATATATATATTTCAATTTACAATTTGAGTATTTTTTATTTATTCTTGGAGCTACGGTCCTGGGAATCTCTTATGAACCTTTGCCACTCTCCCCTATCCACTCTGTCTTCGAATACCATCCTTTTCGGGCTGTCCTCTACCTTGCCCAGCCATCTCAGGAGTGATCTTCCTCTTCCACGTTTTGCAGCAGGCCAATCCTCTAGCAAGTGTTTGGGAATCGCGTCTTGGGGCATACACGCCACATGGTCCAACCATCTGATCTGGTTTCACTCTCTCTTAACAAAGACTCTCCATAATTCTTTACCATCTCTGCATCTATACTATCTAGACCAAGACATCTATTATTCTTCAATGCGGCTATTACACCTAAAAAATCTTCATAATCTGGAGGCTCTACATCACTGCTGTTAACTTCCTTCTGTCCTACTCTAGGGTAGTTTCACACCACACTGTTTGGGATTGGTTATTGAACATTTAATAAATCATAAAAATACACTTTCCACGTCTCCAAGATTTTTTGTGAATTGCTGATGAGTTCACCCTTCTTATTTTTGAATATTGTCATTTTGGGTTGGAAACCATTCTTGAATTCCTTCACACCTTTGTAGAATGTTCTCGTCAGTTTTCAATCAAAATCATTTTGGAACATATTTTCTCTTCTTCTGCCTATATATCTTCTTTGCGATCCTTCTCTTTGAGATATACTCCTGCCTACTTTTTCTTGTACCCACAGTAAGCATTCTCAAACTCGCTTAAAGTATTTTATCATGCAATAATGAGAAATAAAAACACATTTTTTAGGTACATTGCACGAGCAAGATTGTGTGGTGCTGCCAGGTAGCAGGCATGTGAACTATTTTTTCCTTGTAGCAAGAGGCGGAAATCTGCCACCACAGTATCTATTTTTGCTCTAATGTGAGGAATAAAGCAATTTGAGGTATGTCCATAATCATCTTGTTTATTCCAAACCCTCAACTGGTATCAGCTATCCTTAACAGTGCATAAATTCTAAACACTAATGTTTCACAAATCAGTCTCGAGAGTTTCCTAGAGATGAAGTACAATGAGTTGTAAAAAAATCAGTTTTACCACATTGATTAAGCTACATCTCTTGATTTCTGCCCCAGCAAAACATTTTCTAGTGGTACAACCAAACCTAATTCTAACAGAATGGGAAGGTGGATATTCATTCCGTGGGTCTGCCATGAAATAAATTTCAACCCCTCTCCCCTCCCCCCTCTTTCCCCCCAGCCAGATTTGAACTGGAGTTGTTAGAGTTGAGAATGTTTCATACTCGGCCATCAACCTATATTTACATCCTTATGCGACATAACTAATAACACATAAAATGAGAATTCCTTAGTACCTAGACCTTATTTCTACCAAAAATCATACCCAAGCATTTAATAGGAAATGAATAAGTAAAAACATTTTTTTGATTCTCACAACTCCTCAATTATCATGGTTTTGATCAAAGTACTGAACATAACAATGTTGAAACAAATTAACAGTATTGAAATAGGTAAAGGAAAATAAAAAATATCTATTAATACCTAGAAGTACTTTTCTGAGAAGTTTTGCTGTAAGAATGGTGAAGTTGAGCAGCATGGTGAATCAATGCTCCCTCAGCTGGTGATTCAGCGCTGCCCTGCGAGTCAACTGATTCTCCACGCCTCACTTCACGTCTAAACCAATTAACTGAAACACCATTCTTAATAAAACTAAAGCATAAGGTGAAGTAAGGTTCAAGATAAATAATAAAAATACATAAGATATTCATATTAAGGATAAATGTATACGTTGAAGTAATATCCATGATGAAAAAAATTAAGTTAGATAAATGTGTAGTTAAATAGAATTAATTCTAAAATTACTATCTGGCTAAAAATATTTAATACATTTATTTACCAACATATCTGTAACAAAATATTTTCAAACGATAGTTAAAGAGCGATATCACTCAACCAAAGATAAGAAAGATTGTTTGCTTTAAACAATATTATTTATATATACACCAGAGTCCTGTTAATATGAGTTGAACTGAGATTGCTGCAAAATGTAAATAATAAAAATTTTCATGATTTTTTTTCTCATAAATAGATTTAACCTTATCCTTCAGCTTAACTAATTTTAAATACTATATAATGTATAAGCAGATCTATGTTTTTGACCAATAAACTAAGAAAGGGTTAACACTACCATTTATTGAGCAGCACCATAAAAAGGAAAAAAATATTTTAAAATAAAATAAACATTTAACCATACTTCCTAGTGTGTAAAATGTATTGTTCTGGATAATATTAATCAAAGTTTGGCATTAGTCGATTGAAAATTTATTCATCTGAAAAAAAAACTAAATTTTAGTCGGAATTTTTGACCATGAATAAACATGAATAAACATAAGTCAAAAACGATTCAAATTTTATTTTAATTAAAATCTGAATAAATGTTTAGTCCTTTATTTACTTTCGACTAAAATTTCAATTGGATGAAAAATTATTCGAATAAAAATTTAGTCGAATAAATAATTATTCAAATAAAAACCAAATAATAATACATTTAATATTTTCATTATCCTTATATACAAATGTGAACAGTTCCCATTACTGCTACCAAACTACACATAGATTTCCATTTTCATGATTTTTAACTAAATCTCATTATCATGAAAAGAAGTTAAAAAACAACAAACTGACAATAATTATTAAATATGAAACCAATAAAGCAATGATTTTGAAATATGGTCGATTAGATGAGGGCTGTGTAATAGCAGAAGATTGTAAAATAGTATTATATTGCAGACTTTTTTAGTTCTTCACACTTTTATCTATTAAAAATCTTTTAGTGCATCTAATTCAGAAGAAGCCGAATCCAAAATTTAATCGAAATTTCCATTGGAGGAGAATCATTTTCTATAAATTGGACAGATAGAAGGTTAAGACACAGTTTCAACTTATTTTCCATTTCACAGTGCAAACTTGTTAAAAATAGTAAACCATAATTTTATCAAAAACTGTTCACTTCTAAGACAGTTGATGATTTTCTCCATTATTGTTTTATGGATATTTGATTCATTTAATATAAAAAAAAGGTGTTTATGTATTCTTTCTGAAAATACTTATAACCTTCAGTAAAATTAAGATAATTTCTATTATTTTTAATGCAATGCCACAGCCAAAATGTGAGAGGTAAAGATGGGGGAAGTCTTGGACAAATTCATTGAAATGGTATTATATTTTTAACATTAAATAGGTATTAATTATACCAATAATTAGATTTTAAAAAATTAAAACCAAAATAGTTTTTAAAAAATCCCCAAGGAAAAATCCTTATCCATCCTAAGGGGCAAATATAATTGCATATCTACTTAAAATTTTTTTTTAAAAATATAATCAACTTTAACATATGTTTTATTCGGAAATTAATTCATGAATAAATGACTAAACTTTTAGTTGTTAATCATTTAAAAAACAATCAATATTTTTCAATTATTTGTTTTATTTTAGTCGCAACTAATGAAAAAAAAAAATTCATAAATTAAAATTTAGTAGTCATTTGTTAATTCGAATATTTTTGCCCAATTCTGATAAAAACAGAAAGCTGTTGCGGAGAAATCATGACACTGGTCAGATTGAAGAGGGAATTAAGGGGAATATTTGGGAATATTAGGGTAACAAATGATGTGCTTGGTTTTGTTAGTAATTCATTCTATATTTATGATGCAAAAATAACAGTCATCCACATGCTTTCGAGACCCCCGGAGGCAAGGTGCTCGAATGCGCTAAAGAGTGTGCAAAATACACATTGCATGGCAACCTGACAACTGAAGATACTATGATAAAATAAACACGAGTTTGTGTCACGGTGCCAGGGGGCTTTTAACTCTGGCATTAATCCACCACTCTCACCCCTGACCCTGGAACAAAAAAAACAGAGAAAGGAAGGGTAGGACAAAAAAAAAGGTTTCAAGAATCCCCGGAGGCAGAATTACCGAGTGCGGTAAAGCATGTACAAAATATGCGTTGCCCAGTAACCTGATAAATTGAAGATTATGAATTCAAATCCCAGTGTCAAGAGGACTTTTAACTCTGGAATTAATCCCCCTCCTCTCCCTTGGTCTGGAAAAAATCCTGTGGAGACAAAAAGACAAAGAAGGGGAGAAAAATGAAATAGTTTCAAGACTCTCTCAGACCCTTGGAAATACAAATGGCATAGATTTATGACTACCTTTCAACCACTCAATCAGTTTTTTCAAACACGAACTGCAGCAAATATTTTGATGCCATGACTTGTCTTAATCACCATCTTTACATGCAAAATAAAATTCTCATTTTTCATGAGTAGAAATAAGGTACCTGGCCTTGGAGTAACTTTGCCATAAATATAACAAAAGTTTTCTGTTTTATTCACACAATGTCAAGCAACCTTTTTCATAATATAATAATACATTACACAGAAAATGCGAAAAACATGAAAAGATCATTGAGCAAATGCATAGTAATGACTAAAGCAATATTTAAGGGATTATAAATTCCACCTATTATTTGAAAATATTTAAGCAGCATTATGCATGTTATAAATACGGAGTATAGAACCTTTCTATGAAATCTGTGGCTGACAACGCAATTCGCAGGACACTTCTATACTATTTTGACACCAAATATTAAATACTCATTTATTTTATTGGGCAGATTTTTGTACAAATAGGTTGTAGAAAATTAAATTTTTAGGCGACCAAATATAAATTAATTTTTTAATTCATTCAAACCAACCATATATCTGGATAATCAGGATACAGACTATATACTTTACACTATAAAAACATAGCATATGCAAATGTGAGGAAAAGATGACAGCTAACTACATCCGGATAAAATATATTAATTATCTGAAAAGAGCATTTCCAGAATTCCTAAATCAATATAAACCCAAAAAATATGAACATTAGCCCATATAGAGTACATTGACCCTTAAGAGATGGCAAACCAAAGACTCAAAAGGAAATTAATAACAATTGTTAAGGTAATATGTCAAAAAAATTTACTTGGTTTCAAAAACATAGATCCTAATTATTAGACATACCCAGCCCACCTATTTTAAATTTAGAGTTCTTCTGGAACTGATTAAAGTTGCGCTGACTGTGTCTTGGTGTCAGAATATGATGTTTCTTTCTCATATTTCCAAGTGGACTTTGAACTTCATCACCACCTTCAGCTTCCAACACACTCTGAAATACAAATAATTTATTAAATAGATTATATATCACATTATAATCCATTAATAAAATAAAATGTTATCAAAGTCTTACAGCACATGTAGAAGAGGTACTGCGCTTTTTAAATAATAATTTTTTCGAATTCTCATCAACCACATAGCATCCATGGTCCTGAATACTATCTTGTTCACCCTGTGGGATGTGCCTTAAAAAAATATCATCATAAAGTTGATTAAAAGCTAAACAACTAATATAAAAAACAGAGTGAAATATCAAAATGTATTCATCTCTAACCCCTAAATGTAAAATAAAAACAAAACAACCAATGGGAGCAGGTTCTAATAAATATTCCTTAATTTCAATCTCATGGTATTTTTCTGAAATTTGTCAAACACTGTCCATCTTTTTTTTTCCATTACTTCAAATTTATTTCACATTAAATGGATGTCTCAAAAGTAAAAATACTTGTGCTGAATTTAGTCCTATGAGAGAACATTTAAGTTTAATTTTCCTGATTCAATCTATATTTTTTAATAGCTAACTACCAGAAATTATGATAATTTAAAAAAATATATAATCAATATTCCAAGAGCTTAGTGGGTAGTAATGAATACCAGATTATCTTCAGGAACTACCTATTTTTAAAATATTCAAAATTAAACCTAAATAAGCTTAGAAACCAGTTTAAATAGTAAACAACAACCAAAACTGAGGACTAGGAGGCACTGAAATAGTTAAGTACTAAAGGAACTGTAACTGGTAAAAAAAAGTAACATATTGGACATTAATTTTATTTTTTAATGTTAGTTCTATATAAGTATACAAGTAAAAAATGGTCATTTTTATATTACAATATTAATTTAACAGAAAAGTAAGGAGGAACTCACCTAATGACCCTAGTTGTCTGTAGATTAGTTTCCTTTCTGTGGGGTCTAACAGCAGTATCTATTAAACCACTCATTGAAACTCTACGAAGCACATTACCATGAACCTCTTTAACATAGCTAGTAAAAAGCCTTATGTCACTGTAGAGGCTCTGTATAACACAAAATTATCATAAAAATTATCAATAGGGAAACATTAAACTTATTTAGAAGAATAAAAAGTCCATTTTACCATGTTTTCATGAGATTTAATTTCTTTAGAAGCACTGACAAGTTTTGAAACAAATTTTTTAAAAATAGCTCCAATGATATGACCCTCTAAATTAGTTGCAGAGGGGCCAAATAACGACTGTGGCATAGTGTCTGGTGACTTACTGGATGTACGTTTCTGGTCTAAAAGCATAAATAGTACTCAATTTTTGGGATTAGTTATATCTAGATATTTTCAAAAATTTATATGTATCAGAGGTGTAAATATGAAGCTGGAATTTTCGTTTAGAAAATACAGGTCAATTTCATATAAATGTTAAACAATATTTTATTAGAAATATTATCCATCACTAGCTATATATTTTTCCCATCTTCCTGCCATTTTTATACATTTTCTAGAGCATAATTGAAGGGCTGCTGTGCAAGAGTGTACCCTATCGATGCAGAATCATTTCCTTCATTGCTTTTGCTGTGAAGGTGCATTTTCATGAATCAAAATCACTTTGTGATGTCTTTTTTTTATATTCTGGTTGTTTTTTAATGTAATACTCAAATGGCTCATTTTTTGTCAATAAGCAGCTCATAGTAGATTTCACCCGTGTTCCACATTCTTCATTTCACCTGTGAAAATTGCTACTTTTGAATTTTTAAACCACTCAAAGCACTATGATTTACCAAGAGCATGTTCACTGTAAGCATTGACAAGCATTCAATGTAATTCTGCAGCAGTTTTCTTTAATCATAACAGAAAACGAATGCTGTCAGGGAGGAATCTTTGCCAGCTGCCGAAGAAACAAAATGGTACCAATAAAGCAGTTTAACAGTAACTAATTTAACAACTCGAGTCATATGTGAATGAATTCCGGTTCCATATTTATTTACCTCATAAACCACATTTCAAAATAAAGCTTTATCTACTGTAAGTTATTCCTTCATATCATGAACTACTAGACAAGATAATTTCTATGTTTCTATTTCACTAATAAACTTTGGATATAACCTAGGAAAATTACTAGTTTCACTCACTTAAAGGAGAAAGGAGAGAACCAGGGTCTACACAAAACCCAGTGAAAGCATGGAAAAAATCAATGATTTCAGCTATTGATTGTGTGGCAACCATGTTTCTGAAGAATTTTAGAAAGTGTCGTCCAGAAGCCTTATGAAGTCTTCCAAGAAGGCTATGCACCTGAGAGCGAAGAAAATCAGCTGGAGGTCCACGTTGGGCATCAGCACATCCATGAGGACAACCTAAGTGCTTCAGTACTCTGCGCCGTGATGAAAATGAAGAAGGATTTAAACAAATATAAGCGTAAAAATGGACTATACATGATTTTCTTGTTAAAAAAAGCAACTGAAAATTCTAAATTGCAAACAAAATAAAAATCTCCTATGGTGGATTAATTTATCAGCAGCAGTTATGACAGAAATTCATCAAAGGAACAAGTAAAAATAATAAGGATGAAAAATAGTCAGAATATGTAGTCAATGTTTATTAAATTTGCAGACGTTTTGACTAAAGCATGTGGTGGATCATCATCAAGACAATGGAATGAAGACCAGACTAGAACTGCTTAAGATAACAACTGAGGCAGTTCTTGACTGGTCTTGAATCCATTGTCTTGATGATGACCCACCACATGCTTGAATTCAATTGTCTGCAAACTTGATAAACATTTAATGCTCATCCTGATTATTTTCCATCCTTAAAATTTCAGCAGTCAATTATTTACCCATCTCTTAATAAAAAAAAGAAACATATTTAAGGTAATAACAAATAATAAAACATCTAACATCAACTAACAAATAAGCACATGAAAAACATAAAGAGAACCAATTAGGTTGATAACAAATGTTAAATATTACAACATAAATAAATAACATCCAGACGTACCTAGTAAGAGAGCAGAGAATACAACTTTGGGCTGCTAATTGTTTCTCACTAGCATCTGCAAGACCTGGCATTCCCAATACAACCTACAAAACAAAACCATATAATACCAAACATCAAATCCATATACATCATCATCATAAAATATCCAAAAAAAGTATTTTAATAAGTATTATTCTTTCACTATGTTTATAAAATATATAGAACAAAGTAGTTGCTCAAGATTAACTGAATAAATAAATATGTAATATATTTTTCCTCCATAAAACTATAATTAAATTTTTCAATTCAAATGAACTATTATTTCAGAAAATAGAATTACCTCAGTTAAATTGAGAATGCCCTCGCATACTCTCAGGCTGCAAATCACACTATCTCTCAAAACAACATTTTGAACTCCCTACAAAAAAAAAAAACAGTTGTAAAAATTAATCTTTTCAAATAATAAATTAATACCAGAACAAACAAATCTATGTTGATTTCATAATAAAATAACAAGGATGAGTGATATTAGTCGATCAATAAAAGCAAATCTATTTTTCTCGAGTACAAAGCATTTCAGAAGAAGACAATTTTTTTTTCTAATGTTAAATCACCTAATATCTATCAGTTCTCCTTTGTTAAATAATTGATAATGGTATAGTTTGAAAGAGCTGTATGGTCGTTTGCTAATTTTACTCAATGATTTTAGATTGAAAAAAAGAAATACTTCTTCATTTAATGGAGAATGACAATGGTTTATCTAATTCTTGTTTCATTTCTTGAAAGTCATAAAAGTTACTACAATTCACTCTGATTTACAATTAACATGTTAGGCCAATCAAATCCAAAAATAGAACTAGAAACATAATATTAAGTTTTCAATTTACTACCTAATTTGGGAAGGAACTATGTATCAGTAAACTATTTGTTAGAACTGCTATTCATTAATAACAGTTATTTCTACGAAGACTCAAAAATATTCGAGTGTCAACCAAATCAAATGTAACCAGACTATAAATAAGCAGATAATCTTCTACTAACCATGTACATCAGTGTATGAATTATTTATTATTTAAAGTGCCATCCTATAGTATGCTTGTTGCTCTGAAAGTTCTAGAAGTTTTATTTAATTTAAATCATATTCATTCATAAAGACATAGGGTTTTTTTAGTATTCCCAGTGTCGGCCTTAGGATGGGGAAACTGCATAGGTGCATCGACCTGGAGAGGCGCCCATTGGAGGCATTGGCCAATCTTCAGGGGCGCTTGCCACTTGTTAGAAATTTAAAAAAAATACAAAACGTATTAAATTAATTAATTTTATCTGATTACATTATATAAAACATCTTAAGAAATAAATTTTATTTTTCAAGAAGGAGGGAAGATGGTGTCATTGCGCGGGAGTGCTGAATGTCAAAGGCCGGCACTGAATATTCTCATTATATTGTTGAATCATTTCTGATTCAGTTCTGATAAGGGTGGGATGACTGAGTGAAATAATGTGTGTGCACAGCACCGTCATTGCCCGGTAACCCGGATCAAAGATAATTTGATAAAATAATGACGAGTTCACATCCTGGTGCCTGGGGTGTTTTTAATTCTGGTATCAATTCCCCACTCTCATCTCCTGGTCTGAGAAAACCCTGTATAGCCAAACAGGTGAGGAAAGGGAGTAAAATAAAAAAAAAATGTTCAGTTCAGATAGAAGTAATGATATGCTGAATTTATATTTTGCTATTTCATATACATATTTTTTTAAAAAGTTGTCTTCACAATTTGTTATACGGTGGGTTACACAATTTCACTATGAATCATGAATGTCAATTTTTATGTTGTTAATTTTCTCCTAATTCAGCTATTTAGATTCAAGCTGATTTCGCGATACTATCGGTAAAAAATAAGAACATAAACCAAGAATGAAAATTAGAAAAATAAAAAATATCTTCCAAACCATTGGAAAAAGAGTTACCTCAGACAACCATTTACCAAAATCTCCACAAATTCAGAATAGAAGAAATAGGAGTAGAGGACATGAAAAGGTATCTCAACAGTTAATCTCTGTATAAGATCAAAATAACAAGCCATGGTAGCAGGGTAATTTGAGGAAATTCCTAAACACTCTTAAGCCAGAAGAGGCATTGGTTCTAATCCAGTCTAGAAGGTTGGACTTCAACTTCAGGACGGATCTATATATTTATATCTTTCAATGTCTTTTTCAACAGAATAATGAAGACCCTCCCCCCCCTACATCAAATTAGACTAAGTAGATAATCCAAGAACTTGTTAGCAATAAGTTAATACATCATCCGGTACACTTCCTTGTTACTATATCATATTAACATTTAATTTATTTCAGGTGTGGAAGAATCCTTTGCCTCAAACACAACAAATCTCAATAAGAGATATTACGACAGTTTACTAACTAATGGATAACTATTTATTGAGAATAGTTCAACTATTCTTCAAATATTTTTATTATTAATAAAACACCAAAGTATTGACAAGAACTGACATTTTTGTACTCACTAAATTTAGTCTTTTAAAATTTATCAGACCAAAATGAGAAGAAAAAATCTAAACTAACTTTAAGCACAACAAGGAGATCAATGTCACCATCTGCTGTAATGTAATGGGAAGAACCAGGTGCTTCTGGGCAATCATCATATGAGTAAGAAATGTTGGAATCAGTAAAAGATCTTGTAAGCCCTCTCTTCTTAGATACATCTTGTTTGTCAAATAGTCCCCCATGGCCAAGTTTCATCTTTAATCAAGAAAAAACTATATAGAAGGTAAGTCAGGTAAAATGGAATAATCTACATCTACTATAACTAGGCTAGCTATGGCTAGATCTATTTGAAAATTAGGCAGAATTACAGGCCATTCGGTGAGACCTAGCGGCTGGCCTTGTGAAGCGCAGTGAAGCAGCCACGCGGGGAATGTAGTGGGCGCGAGGAGCCGTTCTGTGGGCCCAGCACCGCCCTCACGTTCAGTTCGGCTAGTGAAGCAAGCAAACATGCCAGGAAACTGAAATATATAATGTTCATCCCACAATAGTGCAAAACAAATGGAGGCTAATAGCAATAATAAAGAAAAAAATGGGATATAGATTAAAGAAAATGAAATATAAATAAAAATTCAATAAAGTTGATAAAAAAAAAAGGTTAAAAAATAATAGAAAAAGAATCTGATAGGAATGAAATGCTCAGCTTCCCCTATAAAGCATGAACCACGCTCAGATCCCACCAAATGGCATTGTTTCATAAAAAAAAAGACATTTAATACAAAAAATATGTTTAATAAACAAAAATGCTGCATAACCTCAATTCAATAGTTTGATAACAATATGTATATAGTCAAGTTATGTGTAAACACTTGAACAAAAAATAACAACTAACAACAGGACTGTTTAATTATTAGAATTAAAATAATCATAAAGTATTTTAATCATAAATTAAAGATATCCTATTAAAAAATATGAAAAAACGTGGGATACCATATATACATTATTTTAAAATTATTACCTTCACTTTCAAAAGAAATAATCTATTCTAGTAATAATCTAGTCTTCATACTTTGGCTCATTACTTAACACTACAAACTTAATTATGCAGGAATAAATTTATGAATACAACTTATAACATTATTGACAGAAAAAAAAAATTAGATAGAGTGCTAAAAGTAAAATATAATGACATTAAATTATGTTTAGTTAAATGTATGAAAGTTAAATATCACTTAAAATCAAATTAAAAATAATTTTACTGTTATTTTTATTATTTTAATTAGAAAGAATAATTTTATTTTAAAAATAAAATTGAAAATATTATAATGAATAAGGGGTAAAATAAAGTACATCGTGAAACAAGTGCAGAGTAAAAGTTCAAAATGAAAATCTTCTAAACATTTAAAAAAAAATTAATTTAAAATGAAACTGAATTTACTGCATGAAAATAATTTGCATTTAAAATTAAAAAATCAATAAAATTGTAAATATTTGAAAAGAATTACTATAAATTAAGAAAAAAATAAATACAGGTTGAACTATATTTTTCTGTTCTTTATTAGCGTAAGAGATGCATGAAAAGTTATTTGTAACGTGGGTAAGCGAGTTCAGTTGAGTGAAGAAGTCAGTAAAATGATTAGAATAATGCTACCAACATACATTTCAGACATACCTGTATCCAAAATCATATTTTCTCTCATAAGTTTCTACAATACCTCACTGTCTTCCTTACAACACACCAAGACTATATAATATACTCATATAATTACACCACAATTTTTAGCTACATAATAATAGGAGCCCAAATTAAGTATATTAAATAATGAACTTCATTTTTTCGGTATTATTTGTGGTATGAACAAGTCAGTTTTCAAAACTAAAAATCTTTCTTTTCAATATTTTTTTAAAAACATTAGCCTTATATGCTTTATAAACATAGGTTATCACTAAAAAAATTATTATTGTCCATCCAAACAGACATCTGGATATAATATTATAGTCTATAGAGACAAATTTATTGTACTGCTATGCCCAATTATAAAAAATGCAAAAGAGAAGATGTCATAAAAAAATTATACTCCTGCAGAGATGTAAAAAAGGTAACAAAAAAAAAATGTAAAAAGATGTAAGCAAATAAAACATGACAACAAGATGTGGAAGTAGAAATGGTTGCAAAGGACTCTGAGATAAATTCTGAAAAAATTAAGGTGGAAAATAAAATTTGGAGAATTATTTGGAGTATACAACCTTAGATTAATAAAGTTATATAATAATAACAAAATTCAGATACATAAATGAAAACAATAATAATGGCTGGTAGGAGTTTTAAAGGTAATTTCCTAGATTTTAAAACAATTGAGATATAAAGTGATTTTTGACTTATTTTTTCTTGAAATAAAAGTTTAAATAAAATAAAAGTTCAGAATAATATGAAGTGGGGTAGCTCAGTAATTAAGGCAATGTACTACTATGCTAAAGGATCTGAGTTTGAATCTGAGTATAACGGATAATTATTTATTCTGTAACATCACCTATTGATCGAGACCCTCCTCTGGCATACTCAGCCTCTATAAATTAAGTAATTTCAATCAAATAATTGATTAAGAGGAAGAATCTAGCTAATGAGCGTGATGTAGGTCAAATCACCTCCGTACACAACCATTGACCTAGAAACAGTTCTTCCATTCAAAGTACTTAACCACAGACTCTCCATGGGTTGTAGTGATATATATCTTTTAGGTATAATAGACTTTGGTATCAAATCTATCAAATTTTGAAAATACAAACAAAATTTACTGATTACTTTCTATTAATGCAAGGATTTTGAAAATTTTAAAAAGGAAACAATGACTGCCCAAACTTAATTGCTGCAGGGCTAGGGAAAACTAAAGATTTTTTTTTAAATTTAATTATTCAATACAAATGTAAACAGTCATAATGTATGTACATATATATATGCATATATTGTAATGTACGCCTTTATTAGAAGTGAGTAAAAAGGGTTTAATAAATCAATGTTGAACAATTAAAAGGCAAGCTAATCTAGTTCTACTAGTTCAGGGAAAAGAAAATGGCTTCTCTGTAGTTTCCCAAGAAGGAAAATCCCAAACAGGAGAGGGACAAAGTTTTTGTTTTGGCAAGCAGTTGTGTGGCTGTAGTGAAGAGAGGATAGAAGGGATCCTGGCTCCAGTAGGTAAAACCCAATAATAGTATTACCATCTTGAAAGTTATTGTTTGGTAGAGAGACTAATTATTTGGAATTGCAAGAGAGAGGATTTTTCAAGGAGCTTGAGTTGAGTAGAAGAAAGTATCACCACTTTGGAAGTTGTGTTTGGCAGAACTTTGGAAAGTGTTTGAAAACAAATGAATTCAGTGCCACAATGGAAGAAAACATTGTATATAGAAAAAAGGTTAGCTTGCCAATTTATATTTGACTTTATTTTAAAATCAACCAGTGTTTAGTATAATTAATTTTAGATTGTCAGAGTGTTTTGATCTGATTGTCAGTAACCCATACCTAAGATAAAATGATTATAAAGTTTAGTAAAATATATTAATACTCTTATTTATTTAGAAAGTGTCCTAATAGTATTAAAGTGATCTTTCGAGGTTGTATTATTATTATTTGTAAAATATAAGCGAGATGTTACAATATATATAAAACAACACTTTAAAAGTTGTGAAATCATACAGATTAATATATTCAACGATTAATGGATTGAATAATTATCTTATCCTAGACCAAATTAAAAACTGGCATACTCTAAATCTAGTAAAGAGAATGTGACTACGTTTAAAACATATTTATGACAAGTTAATAAGTATAAGCAGTATAAGCATACTTATTAGTAGTTGATATTGATAAAAAGTCAAAACAAAAGAAAGATAAAAATTGTGATGAAAATAATAAATTTAGTCATTGTGGTGCGTTATTAATCTCTGCTTATTGACTTACCTTTCAAAACATTGATCTTTTAGAAATGCTGAAACCAATGAAATTATTCTTTATTTCTTAAAAAGTAATCACTCGTATATTTGAAATAATAAACCCTATAAAGACAACTAACCTACATTAGTTCTTCAATTATATACACTTCTATTACGTTAAATACATATTATTAAAAAAATCAATTATTTCTTAAGACAAATCTCTTATGACAGCATAATATAATAACAAACAGAGGCTAATTAAACAAGGCTGAGGAAATAACAATGAATAATTAACATAAAAATTAATGAGGGTTTTAATTAAATGAGAGATAGTAAATTCATAAAAACAAAAAAAAAATCTTATGTGAAATTTCAAGCTTTAATAATTTAGATTTAAATCTAAATATTATTAAATTGTATCTATTCATAAATTTGACATGCTAATATCACAAACAAAAACATGAAAAAATGATAAATAATTATTCCAGAAATATGGGAGCACTTTTTTGGAAGAACCAATAGCTCAGAGAATTAAAGGTGATGTCCTGCCTAGGCACTCAACAAAGAAGAGATTTCAACACAGATGTATCTCAGCATTTCTTGATTACAGATCTAAGGGAGCAGGAGTTTAACTTATGATGTGGCAATGATCTATATATAATGATACTTGGTCCATAAAGCAGTATTCTAAAATTTAAATGAAATGACCTGACTTTCTCAATAGTCACCAGAGCTTTTGTATAGAAATATTGAACAACAGAATAATCCTTTTGATAATCTGTAAAAATTGTATAAATAAGATTCTTGATGCACAATATGAAAATATACTCCTATACATAGATTTTTGAAGTTCTATTAAATGTAATTACACGACCAATAATATTTTAAGAGTTTATTTTTTAATATTTTTTACCATAAAACAGGGTTACATTTTATCTGCATTGCATAACCACTGTTCAAGAAACAGCAGTTTTTAATCTAGAACCAAACTTGAAACCTGATGAGTTGCAGTAGAGCACATTTAATTTTTTTTATTTTAATGATTAATTAACTGAGGATTTAAAAAATAAATCTTATTTCTTTATTTTTGCCTCAGTTTTAAAAATACAATTGAGCCAGTAGACTGATACCTGAATTTTCAGAAAACTTCATGGTATAGCAACAGAATATTGCTTACCCTGCGAGGAAGGAAATCAGGCGAGGGAGCTGGTGTATGTTCCGTAACAGTTATGATGGGGTTTGGTGATGGTTCTTGACACCAATCTTTGTGGCTCTCTCCAATATATCTATATATTACAATTAATTAGATTAAATTACATTAATTCTTATTTTAGCATTAGTGTAAAACTATGACGCTACACAAAACCACACGAAAATAGAACAAAAATTAAATTCACTAAATTAAGGCAAATCAAAGCTTAACTAAAAGGACTAAATTCTATTATATAACACAGCAGCGTTAACTAAAGAAAAGCTTTTAAAGAAAAGTTTCAATTGAAGTTTGGTATAAGAGAAAAGTACAATACAATAAAATTGTACGCTACTCAACTGTGTTGAGTTGCTAAATGACCCAGCATACTGA